GGCCGAAATTAACATCACGTGACACCGGGAAAATAGTTTAGCCACCGGGCAAAAAATTTTTTATCGGCTGGCATGAAAATTTAATGTTACACAATTTGTAATTCTGGCCGGCGTTATGAATTCTGGCCAGAATTATTACCGATCATTTGTAAATCCAATCCGGTTTCCGGTTTCTATCCGGATTATCTGATCCGGATTCAAAATCCGGGTCAATCCGGATATAATCCGGATTTTTTTTTTGTGTAATCCGGATGACGGTTTTCATCCGGGTCGAAGCACTAGATATATACGTACTTACATAAACATTTCTTTATACTAGTAACTAGTAAGACAGTAGTATCACGTTAAGAATAACTAGCAAATTATCGATTTTTAATATGATAAAAAAAAGGTGCATAATAAATTATAAAAAAAATTATAATTGTAAGATTTAATTTATATATATTATATATAATACAAAATAATTTTTATTAGTTTACTACTAGTTTACTTATACTTTTTATTAATAAAAATAATAATTAAGGTTAATGGAAATCATGCAACTTAACTCTTCATAATTACTATATACCACCAGTTTCTTTATTAAAAATTTATTTTGTCATATTTTTTTTTAATAATATATACTGCAATAATTTTAATAATTATTATAATACTTTTTTATTTTTAATATTTTTGACGATATACCTTATTAATAATAGATTTTTTTTATTTGATACTTTTTTAAATTGTTTGTGTTAATAAACTTGTAAAATTTTAAACTTTTACATATTATTAACATGAACAAAATGTATAAGAAATAATAATTTTTATATTTTTATTTACATAATACAATCTATCTATTGATGCTGACTTGGGCAATTCTTTAAAAAAACTCGTTTCCACCTCCTGATCACCAATATTGCAGTTCACCATCATAAACTAGTTAAAATAGATAATTATAATAATACTTTTATTTCCATTCTCGATTTCGGAAATTAAAGTAATAACGTCTAGTGAATTTATTAATTTTGGGTGCAGTATTATATTGTATAAAATTTTGAAGTTTAATTTTCTACGGTCCGGAACTATCAGGGATAATCAAGTGTGGTAATAGATAGGGATCATTTAAGATCCGGAATGACGTTTGTTTTTATTGGGGAATTTTAATGTTTCATTTTTAGATGTTTTATCGTGGGATAGCGACTTTAAACTATTCGTTAATCTTTATTGGTTACATATATTTGGGGATCGGGTACTTGATGAAGTGAATACCCTGGAAATGATTTACATAATTGTGACGAATGGCGTAGGAAACGAACCAATAATTTATATAGCAATCATTATTTTAATTGGTGTAGCTTTGAATGAATAATTTACAGTATATGAGATCTTAAATAGGGATTTATTAATTTAATTGGTTCTTTAACGTTTAAATTAGATATTCAGAATTTTCTTGGAATTAATTTTATCATTTTATTTTCTTTCTGAAATTTTCAGTTTATTATTAACTTTTGAAACTCGGGAATTATAATAATTTTATTGAATTTAATAAAACTTGTGCCTGTAATAAAGACGTTTGCCACCACAAGCTACAGAAATAAGTCCTACAGTAAAAAAAAAAAAAAAAAAGGTCCGAATCCTGTGTAACATCTGAATCCAAAACGGTCGATTTACATAGCACAAAATACTTTTTGAAGCATAAAGGAAATTTGTATCAATTTATGAGGCTTTTAAAAAATATCAATTACCACATAATAACTTTTATTAAATCATAGTCGTATATACCTTTTTCCGTTAAAAAAGTTTTCATTGTACTACAGTACTTAATTTATATTATATATGCCTTCTATATTTAAAATTGTATTAGGCTTCCTAATAATATATTTGTGTTTTCCGTACAATGATCACAAGATTCATAAGATTCATCTGATATTTTATTAATTTATTTATTTTAATAATGAATATTTTATTTTTAAACAGATGTTATCGTTCAGCCCAATAGGATCATGTAGATTTTAATAGACCGATATTTTTATTAGCCATAGCAATAACACAATTAACACATGATTGTTGATTTATAAAATCATTGCTTCTTAAAAAAATTTTGCTTTTTTTTATTTTTTTTAGGTCTTTCACTTAAAAGTATTTTTTTTTATTATTTTCTTTTCTTTTTTTTTAAAAAAAAAAAAAATCGTCGTACTTTATAGATAGATAAAAACCTAATAATTTGTGGTAGACAATAATAATATTACTACTATATTACTTTTGCATATCAACTTAATCCGATCTACTGCTGTATATATATCAAAATGTCTTCTTACAGAAAAAGGAAAATAAACTCTGTAGTGGGAAAAGATACTAAACCGGTAAGTTACACCAATGAAGTAAGAAATACTGTATGAGTGAAATTTTAATTTTATTGTTTATCATTAATAAATTAAAATTAATATAGGAAGATGCTTTAATTATCTAGTGGATATAAGAGCATTCGTGGGCGGTAAGTTTCTTTTTATTATCAAATTATATGTAAATACGGTATATCATATTCGTTAGGATTCAATTTTGTATATAATTCTGGCCATCTATTCTCATTGCTAATGCTTTTCTTATACGTCTCATCCAAGAAATCGATCATTTCCTCATCGTTACCATCAAGGTCACTAGGTGCTCATCCTACTTCATTATTGAGTTGGTCTATTACAGAATCGGGTACATCAACAGTTGGTACCGTCACTACTGGCATCACTTCTTCATCATTTTGTGTCTGGCCAAATGACAGCGCCATCCCATCCACTGTTGAACCCTGTTCTAATAATACAAGTCTAGCCTCAAACTTTCCGACTCTAGACATTCTCTTCAATAATTTGCTTCAGTCAGCCTCAACCTCAGCAAATCTTAGTAACTTCTCTCTAAGTTTAGGAATCTCGGCATTCTCCTTCCTAAGTTTAGCAATCTCAGCCAAGAGCTTGGCATTTAATTCTCTCAATGAATCATGCATTTTCGATGATAATTTTTATTAGATGGAATAATTCAAAGTTCGTTAGCATAGATAAAAAAACGACGTAACATCCTCATCGGAATTACTGATTTATTGATGTAGAAATAAATTACAAGATTTGGTAATACATAAACTTGTTTTACAAAGCGAAATAGAATTTCTATGCTAATGACTGCCGGTGTTTCGTCATCTAAGCTACTATACTAACATAATTCTAATCCTTTGAGGTTTTAACGATATTAAATCGGGCTGATTAGCAATACTAATCCCAACATTAACTTTCATTTGTTCGTATAAGACAAGCGATCCAAGCAATATTAGAAATAAAAGTAGCATCCCAACTTTAGTAAAAAACCTCGCTGAGAGTTTTTGTTAACACTTCCGTGATATTAATTAGGTCTTCGGAAATCTGCACGAAAAAATATTAGTCTGTCAAGTACTCTGAAAAAAGTAGCATTTCATTCATACCTGAATTGCGTAATGTTTCGTTCGTACTTCAATAATTTTCTCGTCAACACTTCTTTAAAACTGGTTTCTTTTTAACGAGTTTATAACGTTCATGCTCAGAAAATAGTACAACGGCCGAAGAAAAAAGTGAAATCTTTTGCATAATGAAAAAAAAATCATTGATATCATTTTAGATATTTCAAATGATGTTGCCGCAAATCATTTTTACTTTTAAAAAAAATACAATTATTACTCATCTTAAAACATTTTTATTCATCTATTTTGATCGATTTTTTTTAAAAAAATCTTTTTTACTTGTCCGACCTAAGAGCGTTACTGACTGCGCCTTATCAATTATCAATAAAAAAGCCGCTCTGATTAGTCAAATAAATTACGTAACCTTTTTAATAAATACCCCGAGAATTCGTCGGGCAATCAAAAATCTAATGAGTAATGATAAACCCATATTAATTATTTTTTCGTGTAATGATAAATTACTTTTTTTACTATGCTGTATTACGTCACTACAAGCCACCAAAAGTTTATGCAAGAGTTCTATGTCACGATGTATTCAGAAAGTATATAATCTTCCTTCTTTTATAAACAAACTTAAAGAAAATTTTCTGTCTCTAAATTTAAAATTTCCTCGACATATAACGCGACACTATTCCGTAACCGTGACCATGACCATGAAAGCTTCAAGTACTAGCCAAATGCAGAATGTATTTAAGGAGAAGATTGAAGCCTTAAAAGAAGAAACTTCTAACCTTATAGAAGAAATTGCAGGATATGCCGGTGACGGAAATACGAATGAATTCCTAAGAAGCTTAGGAAATTTAGAAAGTAAACTGATGGATATTTATAAGACAATGGACAGTCTCTCTAACCGTGTGGATGAGGTAGAAAAGGAACTGAAAGAGTTGAAAGATCAAGTAAATTATATGAAGTTTTTCAGCGATTACCGGGATTGGGCGAGCATATTCATACAAATGTTAACGAAAAAGCTAGGAGGTGTAGATAACTGGCATGGTGTGGAAATGGGTCTTCATTATCACAATCTTAACGAGCCATTGACAAAGAAGGAATCTGGCTGTGTTGAACGTTTAATGAACTTATTAAAAGATGATGAAGACATTGGATTAAGTCTCACCGACATTAAGTTATTATTAGAAGTGAGAGATACGAGTAATATTTTAATTCATAAAAAAAATCAAACTTCAAGAGATGCAGAGATGGAACTTGGTACTTATCCGGTTCCTGATGATTTAAAGATATACAAACCTCCATTAAAAAAGGCCTTTAAGGCAATGAGTAGATGGCGCTCGTCTTAATTTAAATTTCAGGAAAGGGAATATTTTAATGTATTTGAATAGCTTGTTTGACTTTAATGAATTTGTAGTAAACATATTGATAAGATATACCAAGAGGTTATTTAGTTTTTTAAAGAAAATACTAATATTGTGCGAAACTATATATGATAAAATATACTATATTAGCTTTATTGAATCATCATCTTCTTTAGCTCTTAAGATATTATAATACTAGAATGGATTATTTCACATAATTGTTAATTTGAGTGATTACTCAAGTTAAAGCAAATTGTCCAAATTATAAACATGGCTAAAATTATAGGTTTACCATTATAAGGATAATTCTCCAAAATCAAAAAAAAAAAATAAAATTAGATAACCAAATGACAACTTTTTATCCAGATTTTTATTTAAGACTTAACTGAATTTTTAATATATCTTGACTGATCCAATTTCAATTGCATTTCTTTTTAAAAATTTTGTTAAATAATTTTAAATATTGTTTCACATTCGATTAATAATCACCCAAGTGCAATTAATGACCCCAATTTTCTATGATTCTTTATGCAATAACTTGAGAGATGTGATTTCCATCCTTATTCTGTTGCAGGCTCAATAACCCCAGAACAGCATCTTTTTAAATAGCAAAGCATGATTATTTTAATGTTGAACTGTTGATAACTTCATGATAGTTGATCATAATCATTCGACATATGGTCATCAAGAATGGAAATTTCAAGAATTTATAAAATAAATTATTAGTTAAATCTGTTACTATATTAAATCTAGAAAAAATTTTTCATTTCAACAATATAAATGGCTGTTGATCAATACAGGACAATCAAGCCAAAATTTTATCATTGTATCATATGTTTGCATATTGAATAATAGTCTAGTTTACTTAAATACTTGTTGGAAATATATTATCTTTTAATTATAGATTTTAGAACTGAAATTACATATATATATATATCACATATTAATCTGAATAAGAATAATCATACTCTTTATAATTATCAATGAATTGTGTTAATTTAACTCCTTTCTCTTTAATCTGACGTAATATTTCTAATTCTTCAACATCCCAATCTATATTTTTATCACCAATTCTTAAATATTTTAAATTATTATTATTTTTTTTCTTTATATAATTTAAAATAACTTTAAGATGACCCAATCCACATTTCCATTTAAAATTTAAAGAAATTAAATAATTATGACACTTATTTAAAAAATTAGATAAAATATTCAAATTCAAAAATTTCCGATTAATAAAAGAAATATGAGATGTAGTTTCAGATAAACTTTCAGCTAATTTAATAAAGAAAATTTCATCATCTAAATAAGAATCTAAAAATAAATTTAGATTTTTAACTTTTAAATTTTTCAAATAATGTAAAATTAATAAATTATGATTTGTATATTCAATATCTAAAGTATCAAGATCTAAATTATTATATTGAACCAATTTTTCCATAATTTCATTAGTTATATATTTAATTTTTAAGATTTTTAAAGTTAATCCTAAATATTTAATAATTTTAGTAGTAATATCATTATCACAAAATTTGTTTCTAATAATTAATCTTTTAAGTTTAAATGAAGCAAATTCAAAAATTTCACAAAATTCTGATGTCATATTATAAAAAGAATCCATTTCTAATGATTTTAAATTATATAATTTGATAATACTTTGTAATATTAATTTTTCAAAAGTAATATTATGAAGTTTTAAAGAAACTAAAGAATCTTTTTGATATTCTAATGAATCAAAAATAATATTTGAAGATAATTTATCAACTGTATGAAGATAATAATCAAATTCTTTTAATTTATATTGATTATTAATAATTGATGATATTTCATATAAATGATAATCTTGTTCAAATTGTTCTAAAGATATTTGTTTAATATTTTTACAATATTCTACAAATTTTTGTAAAAATTTTGAAAAAATTTCATGTTCAATAACACGAGAATAATGTAATTGTAAAGTAGTTAAATTAGAAATATTAATAAAAGTATTAATATAATTAATATCAAATATATTTTCATCAAATATATCAGAAACAATTCCCAATTCTTTAATTTGATCACTTTGTCTTAAAAACATATGATAAAACGCAACTTTTAATAAATTACAAGTATCGATTTTTTGTTTTTTAAACCAAAAATCAATTATGTTATAAATTAAACTTTTTGAAAGGTATTTAATATATTTTGGATATTCAAAAGTTGGTTTTAAATTATTATTTTGAAAAAAAATTTTCATATTGCAAACATTATCCTGTTTGATTAAATACTTTTTTTCTTCTTCATTTAAACATAATAGAAATGTTTTTACAATTAAGATTTTACTTTTACTCTTTAAAGTTGGTGAGAAAGGATTTGTATAAAGTAAAGGAACAGTAACTTTACACCAAAATCTATTTACTAATAAAAAGTTAAATAGAGTCGAACGATTATATTGAGAAAATTTAATAATATAATAGATGCAATCATTATCTAATCGTGGTAATGTCATATTTTTTGAAGAAGAAAAAGTAAAAAGTAATACCAAAATTAGAATATTTATAATATTTATAGTTAAATTTATATAATATTTGATTCATCAATTAGTCATAATGATCAATAATATTTGTAATACGGTGATCAAGTGTGCGTAGTATTTTGACTATTTCTATCTTTAAGTTCAGTTAAAATGAGTAAAAAAATTATATTCATAAAAAATATAAGAAACATTTTTAATATCTCATATTCACAGTTTAGCCGTAAATAAATATCTTATCACTAATTCTATATATAATGGATTTTACTGTTAGATTTTTTTAAAAAATGACTTGTTTCATGCTTCTAAATATTTAAAATCAATTATTATAATTTTTATAATTGATACGTGTAATACAAAAATAAGTTAAAATTGTTTCAAACCAAAAAATTTTGTTTCTTTATCATCTTAAATAAAAAAATATACATATGACTTATTATATTTTATCATCTGAAATCTTTCATGTCATTTATATATTTTGGATGTTTAACAAAAAATTATATTGAAAATTTGTGATACAAAAGATTTAAATTTTAAAATTTAATGAATAGAATGAATTTTTTGAATATAATTAAGGTATTTTGGAAATTTTTTTCTTCAATATTTTTCTTCAACCATTTTTTTCTTTCAATATTTTTTCAACCATTCTTCAATATTTTTTTCTTCTTAATATTTTTTCTTATTTAAAATGAGTATATACCGGAATAATTAAAGAATTGTTACAAGAAACTTAAGGAAGCAAATAAAAGATATGCGAACAGCGAAACTATTACAATCATTTAATGGAAATATTAGTGATATCAAGGATGATAAAGAAGATATTAATAAGAATAACCAAACAAGTCGATGAAAATTTTTTAATAGTTGGTTAGAATTTTTTTAAAAAGTAAAAAATATAAATTCATCTTAATTGATGAGTTACCTGCTTATAATTTTTTCTTGATATTACGTCAGGTTAAAATAAAGATTATCTGTTTTACGACTAGTATATGTGTATAATTTACTATATTTAAATATTTCCAAAATATAAAAAATATATTCAAAATTTGAATTTGAAACTTTGAATAAATTTGGCGTGCTTGCTTTACATCTTTTGATCTTTTTTGACAATTTTATGGTATCGATTATTAATCGGTTAATCATAATCTCATAATGGCACTTCTCAATCCACCTGATCTCTGAATCAATGAAAGTACAATTCTATTAAATATATATGATTACATTAGAAAAATATTCTTTAATTTTAGAACTAGCCAGCGATTAATAAATAAAATTCCATATTCTCAAATTCTAAATTATCCGAAAATAATTTTATTTTCATCAACTTTATGTTTATTTTCAAGAGATAATTTTTTATTTTTTTTAAAAAAACTTTGACAAGAATTACACACAACTGGGTAATTTATCAATAAATTTCATTCTTTTTTTGAGATTCAGAAAAAACTGTTTTCGTAAAAAAAATTCCTAGTTCTGAATACAATAGGTACACATTGCATGTCCTTTAAACTTTATTAGCACGAAAGAAAAAAAACAGCTTAATCGTTATTTTTATTCAATAAAAAGACATAATATATAGTATATAGTAAGTTAAGATTACAATAGATAATTATGAAAATTACGTCTTGACATTATTTATATATATGAACAACCCCTAGGAAAAATTTTGTTCAATTTGGATAATGATATCATTTTTTTCTCTGCAAAGCTGATTTATGAATTTATGTTTAGAAACGAAACTAATCTCGGAAAATACAAAAAAAATTTAGTCAAAAATCAGTTCAATAGAGAAAATGATGTAATATCTTCACAGTCCCATGTTGAATTGGAACTCGCATTAAATAGTATTAGTCATATTATTATATCGATTATCAATTTTTTAATATACTGTATATACTGTATATTAGTATATTGAATATATATCAGTATATAGAATATAGCTATGCTAGTATATTAAACTCGTTAGTTATACTGATATGGATATTTGCATTATAATAAACGATTGATATTGAAAATATTTGAAATCCTCATAGCAATTGTCTTGGAACAATATGGAGAGAACCTGATACTTGAAGAAATTGATGATTATGAAACTCTTAAAGCACAGATGACTCGCATCAATAACATAATACCGATATATGGGGATAAGCACAGCAAAACAAGGGGATAGCCTCAAAAAAAAATTTCTTAAGTTTATATGATAATTATGCTCCAATTTATCCAAAAATTACAGTTGTAATGAAATCTCAAAAAAAAATTTTTAGATCCTATCCCCTTGTTTTGCTGTGCGTGTCCCCATATATTGTACAAAACAAATGAGAAAAAATGTGTTTCAATACTTAGAATGCTATATCACAATTTGACTGGCGATGCTTCATTGGCAAATGATCAAATAAGTAAAGAAGATTGCGTCTTATGATGTTATTAGAAGACACTTCTACAATAATTGGCTTAATGACTAATAATGGATTAAGGGTCAAAATTTGATATATTTTGGGACGAACCTAATGGATATTTTAATGAGGTATTAAATAATTCAGAATTTAGATTTTCTGCTATTCCGCTATTTCTAATAAAAAGTTTATTAAATTTAGTAATGTTTTCCATATACTATGTGCGATACAGTTAAATTGTGCATTACCTATAATGTATAGATTTTTTTTTTTTAGTAACGCATTTTATTTAATTATTTATTCATAAAATACCTAGAGGTATCATCAAAAGACGATAACCCTATAACTAACCGATCTAATCTAAAATGACTATAACTAATCGGGAGACTAAAAAAAAATAATTGTGTAAAGTCTACAAAATTGATAAACCTATTACTAATTAAATTTTTTAAAAATATTTTTTGAATTTTCTAATATTTTCTTCTGTTTTTGGGTCATAACAATTTTCTAATCAAATCAATAACTATATATATAAAAAAAAATTTCTTATCTGTTATACAAATTGTGAAATCAAATAAGCAATACATTAAGAAAAATAAAATCTAATTAATTTTCTGTTGTAGGAACGCACGCGAAATTAGACAAAAATTCTCCACTTGTCCAGAAATCTGATACTTTTTCAAGAAAAAAACTTGACCTTATTCGTCCTAAATTTGTTTACTCTATTGAACGTTTATTCGCTATCAGAGTCGTCTCTGCAACCTTGTACTGTCACTATGCGTTTCTTGTTTTCATTCAATTTTTTCGGTTTCTGACTCCACAACTTTTTCTTTGCCTTTGGATACACTCTTTTCTTCTTTTCCGCTTATTTCGTTAATTCGACTACTAAAATCAGAGTTTATTTTTCTGCCACATCATTATTCGGAACCGTGGATACTGAAGGACTAGTTAACGCGTCTACAAATTGTTCGTCCTCTGAAGGAGGGTGTGCGATGTTGTTAGACGTCTTTCGATTGCCTGGTTTCCTGAAACTTCCGTCTTTACCTATAATTTCATCTTGCGTTTTTATTTGTAATCCATTCCCTAAATCCCCTGTCATAGCTGATTGATACGTGACTTTGAATAAATCTTGTTCATTATTAAAATACATTAAATCATATTTCATATTTGTTAATTTTAACGATTTTAGCAAAATAACCGCAATATTCTCTAATGTAGTCCTTTCTAATCATGTAGTTGTGTTTTCCAATATCTTTTGCGCTCAACTTTTTAACCGCCTGCCAACTATATCTTTTCTTTATATCGCTCGATGAAATCTTTGCGTCAAACATCCTAAAGAAATGTAAATGTTATTGTTATATAAGATCCACCCTTTATGAAAATTGATTCCATATCATTTGTTAAGCGGATTTTGGTCTGGACAGTTTTATATTCATAGTTTCGTTTGACCGTTAGACGTTCCACATAACCCACTTGCTTCATCACTTCGTATATCTCTTCATCTTTCCAATACGCCGGAAAATCATAATAATCTTAAGCCACGTGAAACGTCGGCAAAATGTTTATCAGCATTATATATTTTTCCTTAATAGATTTACATACTGTATATAGTGAATTACTTAATATTATTAAACTGCCCATAACTAAGCAGTAATTAACTTTTAACTGAGCAGTAATTCCCAGCTTGTTAAATTTAATAAAGATAAAAAATGCTGCAGTGCGGCTGTTCCCACCTTAATCAAAGGTGCGTAAACCAAAAGAAGAATGATAGCAGTAATAAAACTGCAGAACCATAAGAAAAGAGTCTTATATATATATATATGAGACTTAGAAATGTATTACGCTATCGAAATTATAGTGTTACTATGACTCAGATGCGGCGCTGATTTTGTTGTGTTACAGCCGTTACGCGATTCAGCCGATTCACGATATTACTATTGATTAATCATTTTAATCATTGACGCGTTTTGTAAATAATTATGTAATTATACGCCAACGCCAACTTTCATAAGCTTAACCAATCAGAATTTGAGGATAATACAATATATATAACCTATCTTGCGAAAATTAAAATCTCAAGCCTTTTTTATTTATTTGCTGGCAATATAAAAAAAATGGCTTATCAACGTACTATTCTTCCGCTCTATTACAACCCAGGCCTTTCACCATGCAGCAGGACTGTATGGTTTCTTACTGGGTTTCTTTTCGGTGCTTTGGTTGTGTTGGCCTTTGGAAGGCCATCACTTTTTTATGACTTCTTTAATTTTCTTTTTACTCTTTTTCATTTAGTTCTAGATTTTTATAAATCAGAAACTGGACAACAAATAGTTATTTATATCAAGCAATTATACAATAACTATTCGAATTTCTGCTCTATAAGGAACTTGAAAGAACTAATGGAAAGGGGAAACCACATGGTACCTTCCCTTTTCATTTGGATATTTCAAGAGTATCCTGAGTCAGCTGGACGTTTTTTCAGTAGGTTTAATCCGATTGCACTTAATGTGATGTATAATAAAATATCGGATTACCTTTTGGATTGTGTATGTACTAATTTTAATATATATATTTAAAATTAATTAATTTACTAAATTCATCATATTTGCTTTTATAGGCAGCTGATTTCTTACTTCCTAACTGGATATTCCTCAAAGACTGGATGAAGGGCATGACTAAAAAGGTATTGATTTATATATATACTAAATTTATTATTCCTCACATTTTTTCTTCTAGGTTACCAAGTCTTTTTAGAAAGCATAGATTAACTCCTGAAGACATGGTTTAAATGGATACTTTTCTTTAATAGAGCAGAATTGTCCAGTTTCTGATTATTCTTTTTTTTTATTTTATTTTGCCTATTATTCGTTTGATACCTGGCTTACGATTGGGGCAGCATCCAGGAAATATTTAATTTTGTAATGTTAAGGAATGTATTATTTATTATTGTATTTCGAAGGGTTAGGGGTTGGACACTTCAAATTTTGATTTTTGGAAGTGACAGAGTATGGCGAGAGTAGGGGCCATATTCAATAGTTTTTGAATTAATAAACAAAGGTAATTTTGCAATGTATGAATTAAAATTTTTCCAGTTTTCGTAAGTGTATTAAAAATGTTTAATTATTTTTGAGAGATCAAAAAAAAAAACTCTCATATATTGATTTGAATTATTAAGTTGAAATATACAATATAATTGGAGGTAAAGAAATCGCACAAATGAGTACTAATGCGTAATGAGCATCTATGAATATTTTTTTTTGAATGAAACATTAAACTCACTTTCTGATAATAGAAAAAAAAGAGGCGAACAACTAATGAACGAGATCATAACTATAAATCAGATAGTGACGAAAAAAAACTAACGGGATTAAGATGAAGAATCAACATCAATAAATTGTAGCCAAGGTCTATTATGTAAAATATTATTAGATTCCTAGCGAATCTAAAGGTGCGATAAAGGATATGGCAGTGGATTATCTGGCGAATAATAATATATCAGATATGGAAGGAAATCATTTGTGTGTCTGTTATGGACTTTGTCGGGGACATTTGTGTGATCTTTAAAAGATCTTTTGTTAATGCTATTAATGACTTTCCATGGTTTGAAGAGGTCGCAAGAAATCTTCCAGACATGTTGTGCACGACACTGAACAAATTGCGAAGGAAAAGTAGCATGATGCGACATACGCTAAATGTGGAGTTCAAATATATGAATTATGTAAAAGCAAGAAAATGAGATAGATAATCGTCTGTTAACGAAAACGCAGGTTGAGATGTCCATCTGGAAATTGGGTTCCTTGTGTCGTGATAATTTGTCGCAAAAGTTTTTAACAAAATTTTCTGAAAATATCTTTCGCAATGTGATGTGTTGACATGTCCGTAAATGATGATTAGAATTGATTAATCAGCCGGTAGACTTCGTGTAAGTACTTTAATCTTGAAACTTATTTGCTTCAATAACATGAGAGAGGTCGGGCAATCCAAAGGGTTATGTAAAAGCCAATCTTGTTCGAGACTAATCAATTTTATTTTTAATAGGTGCTTGTTTGGCAAAATTGTTGTTGAGCGCAGTTTTCCGATTTATATAATCATGTCTTTCCATAAGACATTACCGGATATGATAGAAGAATTTTTTTCATTAATGCAGTGAAATATGGCGACTTTGATCCAAGTTTAGCTAATCTAACCATATTGAGGGGGATATTCGTGTGAACTGGAACTTTTAATGAGATTAACCTGTGTGGTATGTGTGTGATTGTGTGTGATTGTGTGATCGCTTTCCAAATGTTGATTTTAAGTGACCATCTAGGGTAGTCGTATTACTACATATGATATATAACGAAAAAGTTTCTCTCTAATAATATTATAACGAAATGATAAGTTAATAAGTAAAAATCTTATATAATGTAAATAATCAAGAAAAAATAGGAGTTTATTTGAGATTCAATCAAGGAGGTTACAACAGCTTTGTTGGATTATCGTTAATTTCAAACTGTTGAAAATTTTGATACAATTTAAAGAGTCTGTATAAATGTTGGCTGTACTATTCTTTAAGGCAAACTAATAAGGATGTAAAGCTTACACTTTTGTCGAGGAACTCCAATGCGAGATATGTGTGAAATGTAAGAATCTTATTAGAAGGGTGTTCAATAATCCATCCTATATGGATCTGTACACCAATATATACTGTATATATTAGGATTGTTGATGGCTAGAGCGAGGTTGAGAAGTTGATCAAAGAGTAAATCAGAGTAATTTATAAAAATAAAGAAATTTAATGAACTTAATAAAAATTTTATCATTGATTAAATAATTATGTAAATATGTAATAGACAAGCTTTAATATTTATTAATTGATATTTGTACACACATTATTTCAGGTCTCATATCTGAATTATAATTTTTATAAAGTAATATATTGATGATTTTTTTTTTAAAAAAAATATTGAATTATCTATAGTATATTACGTAGAAAGTAAAATTAACATAGTAATTTTTGAGCTAATCAAATTTTTTAATAAAACGGTCAAAAATTTCATCTTTGATCGGCACATTAAAAATAAGTACTTTTCTATTTTTGGATTAGTACATCCTGTCGTGATTTCATCTAGCGCACTACATATGCAACAATCTGTGGCATGTTAAACAAAGTCTTTATAAATAAGTAATAATCGAAACATAAAAAAAAATTGTCTTTTAATTTTTTTAAAATGTCTTCGGAAAAAATCGCAGTGTTTATTAAAATTATAGAAAATTCATCTCTATTAAGTTCTAATTTAAAAAGATTAAATCCAGATGATCATTTATCTTATATTCGTGAAGAACTTGAAAATAATAATATTATTAATGATATGTTATTATTTTCAAAAGAAGAAAATAATGAACTTAATGAAATAAAACGTGAAGAAGAAGAAAATTTTCATTTAAAAGATATTATAAAAGTTGAAGATGATCGAAATATTTTATTTTTAAAACGACGTTATTGGAAATTTTTAAATGATCATTGTAAATTAGATTATGGACGAATTATGAGTTATGATGGAATTAAAATAGCTGAAAAACAAGCTTATACGATGAATGAATGTGAGTTAAATGGAATTAATAATTATAAAAAAAGTAGAATTGAATTTGAATCAAAAGAAGATTGGATGAAGAAAACAAATTTATTTTTTGATGTCGATGAAATTAACGTAACGAATTTTGCAAAGTTAGGATTATCGGTTGAAAATTTACGTAATAAGAGTTTTAATAAAGAAGTTATGTCAGCTTATCAATACACTGAAATCAGTAAAGCATCATTGAAATTTAGTAAAGAAAATTTAAAATTAACTGACGAATTTGAAAAAGATGTGAACGAAGCTATAAAATCTGAAAATCCTAGAGAAAGATTTAAGAAAATTACTAAAGAATATGGTCAATTCATTTCAACTGAAATTATTTTAGGAGGTAGAGTTTATTTCAATGATGTTAAAAAGTCATTAAAAAGTTCAGCAGATAGCTTTAATGATAATTCTGAAAATATGAGTATCGAATCTACTAGTAATAGTATAGGAGGATATTACTCTAGTGATTCAGAAATAACTTCGAAATTTTATAATTTTGATCATATGAGATTATTGGGAGGAGAGCATCCTGATGATAAAAATTTTGATGAAAAAATGTGGAATGAATCTTTGAAAAATTATCAAAATTGGAAATGTATTGAATTTAAATATCCTGTTCATATTTTCCAACTTTTACCAGATGATTTGCGTAAAAGTACTTTTAAATCTATTGGAAAAAAAATTCTTTACAATATTGCTGAGGATTGTGATTATTATTTAAATGAACCTGGAAGTTATCGAACTTTTGAATTAAAGAATATTCCACAAAATATTTTAGAAATAATTCAAGATAGAGAAGCTGATTGTGATATCTTTGCATCAGTTTTTGATAATAATGAAAATTCAAAAAATGATTTTTTTGATTGTCAAATTCTCAAAGAACCAAATACAAAACCATGTATTATAATTCATGGTATACAAATGCAAAAAGAATTTAAACCATGTAGATATAACTTGAAAATTAAGATAATGATTATAGGTTATGATACCAATTTTAATTTCATGCTACCAGATATTATTAGTGTTGAATCAATAGGAATTGAATACTATCCAAAAAATTCTTATATATTTTGTAACCTACCATTAAAAAGAAAAATTGATTTAATTGGTGTCCCTTTATTTGGAATTCCTGTATTAAGTAATTTGAATTCATCAAATAATTCCATTATCATTGGTCATAATTTTTGTAATACTCAAAAAAACGGATTAAATGTAGATGTATATTCTTATTGTTTAAAAAAGAAATGTTATGATAAATTACCTCAGTTTACTTTTTGTGTGTTAATTATTTCTGATTACCCTTCTTCTTCTAATTCTTATTCATCACTTCCTTTTAATTCTAGATTCTTTGGAATTGGAACAAACCCATATGTTAAACTTAATTCTAGTAGTAAAAATCCAAAATGTGTTAGTTTATATTTATCAAAAAAAGATAATTATAAACCAACTTTTCTGAATCAAAAAATTAATCAAATTAAAGTAGAATATGTTCATTGTAATTGTAAGAAAACCTGTTTTATTTGTAAGAAAAAGACTGTAAAATTATCAATAAGCGAAAATTATGCTAAATGTATCTTATTTGATTCTTAAAAATTGGTTTATTATTAGAGATGAATATATGAATATATATATATATATATACATGTAATAAAAAAATAAAATAAAATAAGGTTTTAGTTTATATTTAATATATTCATTGTATTAATTGCAGCATAATTTTATAAACGTTAATTCGTGACCCGTGAGTCAACTGCAAAATTCATATATGATTTCGGTGCAAATTTATGTCGACCATTAGTAATTTTTTTCTGATACCCGTCAAAACCAACATTACATAATATTTTATCCAAAAGTTTCAAATAGTTTGTTTTTTTCACATAGTTTTTTACTTTTATTTGACGCCACGCCAGATTCCCATTTTCTGCAGATCATTTGCAGTCGACTTGTCAATTGTTTTGTAATTTTTACTTTTAAAAAAAATTTAACATTTTTTTACAATTAGTCATTTATAAAAAATATAGTCACGTAATACATGTAATATACATATACGAATGATCAAGTGCATGTTAACCGCCGGTTCTATATCAATCTACCTATAATATCTCAATAATTCCCTATAAAAAGAATGTGACGATAGTTCTTATTCTCGATCGATACTATGCGAGACATCTTGTATTTGAAACTTTTATTTCTCAAAACTCTTCTACCCTATCGTATGACCCATCAAATGAAAAGAATTTTTATAATTCATGGCTTTAATACATATCCTTTATGATAACCCCTCAAAATATTTTTAATAATCTTCCGTTAATACTACTATTACATGAAAACAAACGTTTAAACTTTCAATGGAAAAACAATTATCTAATTATACAAGTTGCGGACTCTATAATATACTTTACAAATCTTTTTAAATCTATCATTTAACTCATACAAGGTATTATATCGTTTGTTATTAATGGAAAGGAATTGTTTCTATTAAATAATTACTTCAGGGTTAACTTCAGTCGATATGCTCACATCTAAAGGGTATATTACTCCTGTTTTTTCTTCTTTATGATCTATCTTTAAATTTTTGTAATCCGTAGATATGACGCAAATACGTAATTCTACTTCAACAGCGTCCGTCAAAGAATCACGATGACTTTTTTGATTATTAGAACCTATACTCTTGTTTGAATTAGAATCATTACTAATTGGTTTGATTATTTGAACATTAATATTAGGTTCATGAGAACAATATGCATGAACAGAAAACAAATGTCCTTTATATCCTTGGAAAGGAATCTTCTTGTAATAGTTTGAATTATCGAGTTGTAATGCAACAGTTTCTTTAATATAATTGACTTGAATTCCTCGATTCTTTGGACTAAAAACTGATAATTTTGAGGGATTTCCAACAATCATCCATAAAACAAAACATTTTGTTATATCGACGCTTGTTTCTTTGGATTTTTTTATTATCGCATAAAATCCATCGAAGTCATATAATCCAAAATTGACATAAATTTCTTCTGATTTTGTGTTATTTTCTGTTATGATCAATCCAAATACTTCATAATCTTCGCTTTCCAATGATAATCCAATATTTATACGTTTGTAGTTCTCAATATTATTATTCTTCAAATCAGTTAAATCGGTAATTCCCGTCATTATAATTCTGTAATTATTTTTTAATACGTCATCTATTTTTTCTTGATGTCCTGTTTTAAGAATTTTATAAAGAGGAATGATATTATCAAATTCAATAATTTCCAAATAATTATTTGTATTACGAATCCAATTATGTAAATCTCTTCTTCCAATAATCCTTCCTTTCTGTGTTAAAAGGGATGATATATTTAATTTATCTAATATTTTAGATAATTCATGTATTTCATTAACATCATTAACATCATCAATATTAGGTAGTGTGAGATTTGGTAAAATACTTTTAAGAGATCTTCCTAATATAATTCTTTGTGGAAATAAATGACCATATTCGTTAAATACGTCCTGTAGAGCTTTCAATGGCTTCATACTATTAAGTGCTTCTTCTATAGCTTTCTCAAATTCTTTCGTAGGTTTTATATTATCCGTATTTAAGAGAATTTCATATTTCTCGCATTTGACTAGAACGTGATTATAACCCTCATAACCCTCATTATTATTATCATTATCTTCAATAAATGGAAGAGTGCTTAACTTTTTAATTGAAAAAATATTATTGGAGACTAAAGTAGATTCTAATTTTGTTGATGGTTTGATAATTTTCAAATAAGATCTATTATTTGATGTGATTTTAGGAATTTCAAAGAATTTAACAGGAATTTTCTTGTTAATTACCATTTCGTCATTTTTATTAATTATTAATCCATGAAAAAGGTTAAAATCTTTGATCCAACTAATCAAACTATCATTCATCGCATCTCCAACCCACTTTTCTAAACTTAACTTTTCTTCAAAATTAGCGACTCCAGTTTGTATTTCTTTTAAAGTTTCGTCTTCATTTACCAATGATGTATCTCGTTCTGGTCGAGAAATGGGAATGAGTTCATCATAAGAAATTATATTACCCATTTTCTTTTGATATAAATTATTCATCCAATTAGTTAATTTTTCGTGAGTATTTAACTTTTCACCATCCAACGTTACTAATTTTGGTAAAATATTCAAGGTAAATAAACTGTTGAATTGAAATTCTGTAGGATATTTAGCTGAATTATATACACAGTACAAATAAAACTTTAAAATGTTAATTTGTGTTGGAGTCGCTGAATTAAAATCTACGATAAATAATTGTCCACCGGTTAAAATTCTTCTTGCAAAGAAATCACCATACAATTCACGTAATTTCCTTTCATCGTTTGTATTTTCTATTAAAGATTTTAATAAATCCCCATTATAAATGATTTCAGCAACTGGGAAATAAATGCAGGTATCTACTTTTAAATTATTATCTCCAGAATCAATACACGTGTATACTAAAGGTTGTCCCTTATATAAATTTACTTTTAGTTCACCATCTTCAACAGCAACTCCTTTTATGCTTGGCATTATATCGGTCCCGTTTAGAACTAAACCATGATTTAACTTAAATTGTCTAATTATTTGTTGTGGCGAAGTCTTTAATATTTCCAAGGTAATTTTCGCAGTATGTGGATATGATGGTCGACCAGATGTTAGATCTGTTACTTGAGCGTTAAACTCTCCATTAATATTGGATTGTAATTTCAATTGAGATAAAATTTCGTAAATTTCATTAATTTCAGGCCTCAGATTTGGATCATCTTGCCAACACTTTTGGTAAAGTTGTAGATATTTCGAAGGAGTATTTGCAACTGGTTTCTCTCTCACACCATTTAAAAGTTTATTCCTTATATGAGCTAAATCCAATACCTTTTGAGTATAGTCAGAAAAGGGAGGACGTCCATTTGACAATTCCCATAAAAGAATACCTAAACTATAGATATCCGATTTAATATCTAGCTCATAACTTGGATTGCGAAGATACTGTGGTTCAACATAAACTATTTTTTCAGATGTAACTTCTATCTCTTGTTTGAGTACTCTTATGTCCGTCATCATCGCTATACCATTATTAACCAATACGTTACGCGCATGCTTTATGATTAAATAATGATCAATATCAATTAAGACAACAAATAAACCAAGAATAAAATCTAAAAATATTTATTTACCAAATTTCCATGAATTACATCGTACGAATGTAACCACATTAATCCACGAGTGATATCAAGCGCCATTTGTAGTTTGGTATCCCATTGTAATGTGCTAAACTTATTTTTCAAATAATCCCTTAAATTTCCTTCGTTTGCAAATTTCGATACTGACAAATAGTTGCCATTTGATTCTATTATTTAATAAGTAAATAATTATGCATGATAAACCGCAGCAAACTTTATTATTTTTATAAATTACAACACGCTCATCACTACGAACCTCTCGTTAATCCGAAAAAACCATTAATGTTGGAATGATCAATTTTACGAAATGCTTTTAACTATATAAATAATCATTTTTTAGTATTAAATAATCTTTTAAAATAAATAAATAAATAAAAATGTTATTCATACCTTTGTTATAAATTCTTTAAAATCATTTTCACTAATCTGTGAATTATTCAATTTTTTTAATACGATGGTAATTTTTTCATTTTTCCAATTGGCTTTTTTCAAGATTTTGTGAATTTTTTTGTCAATTTTCTCTACATTTTTAAATTCACTGTAATCAAAGTAATCGATATCCTCTTCTCTAATCCTTTCGTCAATCCATTCTTTCAAAAATTTCCTACATACATCATCATGACCTAAATTATTAGTCATATCTAATTAACGTTAATAATATGTGATAAATAAATTAAACCAATTCTCAATATATAAAATTTACTTACTTGACGAGATTTTTTCGTTAAAATTGCGTTCCGCTTTTTCGAAGTAATCCGAATTTAGTGTCGGAATTTCTAACTTTAAAATGTGATCTACTTTACCAATACTTCCCGCCTTGGAAGCCCCACTATGTAACCACGCTTTTAATTCGTAATATTTTTCCTGAAATACTTTATCCAAGTATTCTATCAGTATAAATCTTGACTGATCTCTTTTTTTCTTATTAATCTTATTTGTCTTTTTATCATCATCGTCAACAACAGAAATATTCGTTGGAGGATTATCCACATAAACGATATTTCTGCATAGTTTAGCAACTGCCCCACTTTTTTTATACATAGCACTGATTTCTCTACACAAGTCCTCTTTGTCTCTATTACATTCATCTTTATTCTTAAAGTTACTAAATTTAGTCCTCACAATAGTAACATTTTCATAAATACCGCTATCAAAAATAGCCTTCACTTCTTCTGCCGTGAATTTTCCGTCAATAACAAATAAAAATTGGCTTATCCCTTCCGAAAATCTTATTATATTTTTATTTAGCTTAGCGGCCCCAGTATCAACCACAAAATATTTCGTTTCTTTTTTCAGTACATTGGCTAATGTAGATTTACCACTATTAGTGCGACCAACTATTATTAATTTTTTAATTGTTTCTTTCTCTCCTTCTTTTAACTTAATTAGTTGATTAAAACTTTTAAATGAATTTGTACGAGTTGAAATCACGTCTAACTTAATATAATTTATTATTAGTATAGATTCATCTTAATATTGATTTGAAATAATTAAATAATTAAATTTACTAACCAGTCTCCACGGAATTAAAATTTAGTGCTGATTTTAAATTTCGTTCCAATACTGGAAATTCTATTTTCAAATTGCGTTCCACTTCTTCAGCAATATTTCCTATGTCAATCTTATTTTGTAAATTATCCCATATTTTTAATTTGTAGTATTTTTTCCAGCATACTTTATCCAAGTGATCTAGTAGTATCTCTCTTGAATGGTTTCTTCTTCTTTTATTAATTCTAATCGTTTCTTTATCGTCATCATCACGAACAGAAATATCTACCGGAGGATTGTCTACGTAAACGATACTTTTACATAATTTAGCAATTGATTCGTTCTCCTTACATAAATCTTCTTTATCATTTTTGCATTCATCCTTATTTTTAAAGTTACTGAACTTAGTTCTCACTATTGTGATATATTCAGCAATACCACTTTCAAAGATGAAATCTTTAAGCAAGTTAAACGTACTTGCTTCTTCCGCCGAAAATTTTCCGTCAATAACCCATAAAACTTGGTTTATCCCTTCCGGCATCTGATAAATTATCTCTGCTATTTTTTCATATATGACTTTCTTTTTAGTTAACTTAATGTCTCCAATTCCAGTGGTATCAACTACTTGATATTTCGTTCCCTTCCATTCAAAATCTTTTATTCGGTAATTTTTTTTCTTATTAATTGAGTACTTGTTTCCTTCAGAATGACCAGCACCACCTAGTACATTAGATAATGTGGATTTACCACTACCAGCGTAACCAACCATTAATAAATTCCTCATTTTTACTTCTTCCGGTTGATTATTGGTAACGTCCTGTGTAGAAGTTAAATTCGTGTCTAATTAATATAAAAAACTATTAATAAAAATCATTTGAATGTTTACCAATGTATTTAAATTTACTCACTTATCTCTTTTTCTTTTTTCTCTTCTAGATGGAGGATTTGATCAATTATTAATCGAGAATCTAATAAAGTAAAATTTTTAAGTAAATTGTTGATTTTTAAATAAATAATAATAAAATATAAAACATACATACATTTAAGCACATTATTACATTCGTAATATTTATTTTGACATATATTCTCCAAATGGGCTAGTAATATTTTTCTTGATTTTCTTCTTATTTTCTTATTATAATCAATTCTTTCTCGATCATCATCATCATTAACAATGATATTTGTCGGAGGATTGTCTACATATATGATACCACATGATTCAACTATTTTAGCAATAGTTTCACTTTCCTTACACATTTGAGTTGTATCTTCTTTACACTTGTTTATATTTTTAAAGTTACAAAACTTTGTTCTCACAATTGTAGTATATTCAACAATACCGCTATCAAAAATTATTCTTTTAAATAAATCAAACGCTTCTATTTCTTTTTCCGAGAATCTTCTGTCAACTACAAATAAAACTCGACTTATCCCTTCTGGCGTCAAACGGATTAATTCATCGTACAATATTTTCTTTTTCTTTTCAATTGAACCAACTCCAAAATCAATCACACGATATGTCGTTCCATTCCATTCAAAAATTTTATCCTGAAAATTTTTAAAATCCCTGGCTGAATATTCACTTTCTTCAAAGTCATTAGTATCGCATAGTACATTGGATAATGCGGATTTACCACTACCACCATAGCCGATTATTAACAAATTTCTAATTTTTCCTTTTTTCCTTTCTTCATCTTAATTGATCGTCGTAGAGTAATTAATAATAATAAACTATTAGTAAAATCTATTATTTTTAAGTCTAAATTTATAAAATTACTAACCTGTTTCAATAGAATTATTATGAAATCCAGGTATTATTAATTCAGATTTTCTACTATTAATATTATTTTCCGATTGATTAAATTGTGGTTGTAAAACTATTAATGGTAAATCAGGAAATTCATCGGTTTTTAATTTAAATAAAATATCATATACTTCATCAACATTAGGTCTTGAATCTGGATCACCATTCCAACATTTTTCATAAAGTTGTTGATATTTCAAAGGTGTACCTTCAATTGGTTTTTCCCTAAGATTCTGATAACTAATATGAGAACCTAATAAAAGTCGTGAATATCCAAGAAAAGGAGGATGACCACTTGAAATTTCCCATAATAGAACGCCTAAACTATAAATATCGGATTTTTTATCTTTTTTGTAATTAATAATTTTAAAAAGTTGTGGTTCATTATATTCAACCATTCCTATTCCATTACCCAATGAATTTGTTGAATTAGTCATAGGTTCTGATAACTGTTTAGATGTTCCAAAGTCTGCAATCATTAATCTATTATCATTAACTAATATGTTTTTTGCATGCTAAGAAAAAAATAGAAAAGAAAAAAGATAAATTTAAAATCAATATAATTAACAGAATATAATCAACAGAAAAGATAAGACAACAATAATTTGAATCATTATATTACCAAATCTCTATGAATTATTTGTTTGAAATGTAAACATTTCAATCCACATACAATATCCAAAGCCATCTGAATTTTATCATTCCATTGAAGAAATTTAAAATTATCTTTTAAAAATTCTCTTAAATTTCCTTGATTAGCATATTGTAATACCATTGCATACTTATTTGACGAAGGTTCTAAAAAAAATAAGAATAAAATTAATAAATTAAAATTAATTTTATAAAAGTTTATTCGTTAATATATAAACCTTTTGTAACTCCAAAAAATCCGGTTACGTTCGGATGAAAACTAACTTTCTTTAAGTTCTTTAACTTAAAAAAAAAAAAAATTATTTTAAAATCATAAAAATTTTTGAATATATCAACTTAAAATATACTATTAAAAATAATATTACCTCCTTAACAAACTCGTTTAAATTATCTTCATCAACTGAGGGATTATTTATAAGAGTTTTTAATGCCGCTTTAATTGCACAACTTTTCCAATCAGCGCTTTCTACAATCCCGAATGATCCATTTCCAATTTTTTTCACTTTACTGAACTCGCTATAACCAATATAATCTATCTCACCATCATTTATTTTTTTGTCAATCCATTCGTTAAGTGACGTCATATTTAAAAAAGTGTTGTCTTGAATGAATCCTAGGTTTTCGGGCAAATTTATATACACAGCTGCGATGTAATACGCAGATCAGATACACATGAATTAGTGCTCATTGACAGACGTCACAGATAACACAGCATACATCTCGATAACATCTGATATCAGTTTAGACATGCATTTTTTTACAATCGGCCATTTTTATACCGTTTAATGAAGTAATTTTTATAATCTCGCATATACAAAAAAATACCGGCCCTTTTTTTTATAACAAATTTTTTTAAAACCGACTTTTTTTACATAAAGAGCAATTTTTAATGTTGATTTTCAAGAAATTTTTTTTCAGATAAGCGAATTTACTACTTTAATATATTTTATCAAAAGATGGATGCCTTATATGTTTCGTAATTTTCTTTTCCTCAATGTATCGATTTTCTTATATTTTACCCCATTATACCGAATTTTCCCGCTATACCGAGTGATTCGTTATAGCATTAACGAATTGTCTCATGACGAAGGCCAGACGCCTACTTCGTTATATCGAGGGTTGACTGTACATTGAAATAAAATAATGATGACCACGCGCTAATGAAATACGCGAAAAATTGGTTGATACTGGTTACGATCCGGATCTAAAAGAACTGAAGAATAATGATGTTATTTATGCGTTATTATTTATCGTTTTAAAATATATTCTCAAAATAGCGCATCAAAAAAATTTTTAGATGGAATCATGATGAAATTTAGAATTGTACTGCAAAGATGGTGTAATAACTAGGGATGGAAAAAGTTCGGGTTGAGCGACTTGAGTCGTTTCGTTCCATTATTCGGTTTGTTACATTATTCCAAATCGGTTTTAATAAAATTTTGATATATACTGACTCGGATCTGGAGTTCTGGACCGGAATGACAAAAACCGATTATGAAACCGAACCGGTTTTTCTGTAATTATTAATTATTTTAATATTAACAAATTCTTAAACCAGGAATATCTACTTCGTACAAAAATATGAATTTACAATTATTGCTTAAATTAATTTAATAGGTCCGATTGTTACATATTTACATTTTAAATATTTACTCGACACAAATTACGAAAATTTTCTCGTGTCTTCCGCTCCACCTTGTAAAAAAAGTCGATCCGTTTTTTATATTTCATCTTTTTTCCGTAAAAGGCCGGAATTAATAACCTTATATCACAGAATTTATCGAATTATTTTCATTTTCCGTGAATGAATCCGTGAAGGCTCATTTTTACGGAGTTTTTACAGAAATAACGGATAAAATTTTTTATAGGGCCACCGATATGAAAGAAGCAATTTCTGGTAAAAGATTATAACATGTGGCAGTTGTGGCACGATGATAGCCAAGCACTCAATATCGAACTTAATATATACCATAGTGTCCAACAGTAACTACATATATGTTAAAAAAATTGGATCCAAGGAATATTTCTTTTTTATAAAGTCCTATTACAGAAAAAAAATTGTGCACAACCTTCGGATCACAAAAAAATCTTCTAGAGAGTCCTGGCTGTTTTATTAAGATAGAGTCATATATTATGCAATTTGATATGCAGCTAAAAAGTTAGACATAATTTCCATTTGATTCGTAAAATAGTGTTAAAGGTAACATTCATTCATGTAGAAATAATGCACGTGAGATGAATTTTAAATAAGTAACACGAACAAAGAAAAAAAAATATGGTTGATAATCAAGAGGATTCTTTTTGTGTAATGGTTTAATAAGTGTAACAAATTTAAAATAACGTAATGAAAGTTTAATAATCGCGAATATTTATAACCGATTGAAAATCTATCTAATAAATTAATTTTTTGTTCTTTTTAGTTTAGGAATTCGCATATTTAGTTTAGAATTAGATTAGTTTTAGGATAGTTTAGATAGTTATAAACTTAGTTATACGGTTTAGTATTTTATGCTAAGCTCTAGGTATTTTAAATTAATTATGTAAATTTTCTAAAATTTGAAAATAATTAATAAAATGCGTTACTATTAAAAAAAAAAAAAAAAAAAATATATAATAAATTAATGATCTTAAAACTAGGAAACGGGAACCGTTGTAAGTCCGGAGCGAAAAACTAAAATTTGTGATTTCATTGGGTGACGATCACGTGGCGGACAGAGAAATTCACGTGATCGATTTTTTTTTCATAGTGCGTAGACATATATTTTGTCCTTCGCTTCGCTCCGGACAATAATAAACTAGGAAACGGGAACCGTTATAAGTCCGGAGCGAGATATAATAAATAAAGATTTAGCGATATTCTACTAATTAGCAGCATAACGCCTTGGAATTCCGGTAATTTTCTGCTGATTAGCAGCATAACGCCTTGGAATTCCTGGACAGAGAAACTCACGTGATTGAAAATTTACACGTTATTTCCATAGATCATCATAGTGCGTAGACATATATAGTCCTTCGCTTCGCTCCGGACAATTACTGGGCGGTTCATTCCAACCGAAGTTATCTACACAATTCTATTATTTGAATATCTCGTCTGTCCGATCATCCGATATATACATAAGAAATTCACCTGATAACGGATATCTGTCAAGATCCGGATGACGGATAAACAGAACATTTAGTGCTCTTTGTCATACAAAGTCACAATAGCTACAATACAAGTGTTCGACATCCGAGAGACACAGGAAGAAAAATAGCAAATTATCATTTTTAAAAAATACGTACAATTTATTAAAATTACAATAAATGTCTTAATACAATTTTATACTTTACATACAATATATACATTTAAACTTGAAATGACATCAATCTATCGTTCTATCAATAATATAAATAGCAACTAATAATTTGTCTTGTACTATCTAATATAATTCATATAACATTGAAAATATCCAGACGTAGTGGTTCTTGTTATAAAGCATAACTATGTAAGCCGCGGCGTAATTGAAATCAAATATACTATTTTGATGTGAACTTCGGCTCTTAAAGTTCCGTATCCATCCCAATTAAAAACCAATACGTGAAAATATGATATAGACTCTTTCAATTTCATCAGAATTATAATCAATTCTGAAAGCATAATTCGAGAAAGATAAATGACTTATATAATTCCCGATTTCAATGAATGATTCAAATCATATAGTAAAAGTGGAAAAACTTATTAACCTGTTGATAGATATCGTCAGATTCAGAGCATCAGAACAACCATCAAATTCTTTAATAACCTTTTTGATTTTTTTTTTTTTTTTGATACTATCACATGACTCAGTAACAAATTCTTTACGTTCTAACTTCTAAGAAATCTAAACTTTCAAGAGAATATCATATTTTTGATCATCTATTCACGTCAATTGCGGCTTCAGCGGATATAAATTGATAAAACCATATCTTACAAATCTTGAACCTATTATTCCAAAGTATTGTATCGTTTGTTATTAAAGGAAAGAAATCGTTTCCGTTAAATAATTACTTTAGGACTGAAATCGTTTACAACTTCAGTTGTTATGCTCGTATCTAAAGGATATTCTACTTCTTTTTTTCCTTTTGTATGATCAATCTTTAAATTTTTGTAATTCGTAGACATAACGCAAATGCGTAATTCTACTTCAACAGTATCTATTAAAGAATCACGAGAATCACGAGAATCACGATGAATTTTTTGACTATTAGAACCTATACTCGTGTTTGAAATAGAATCACTACAAGTTGGTTTGATTACTTGAACATTAATATTAGGTTTATGAGGGCAATATGCGTGAACGGAAAACAAATGCCCTTTATATCCTTGGAAAGGAATCTTTTTGTGATAGTTTGAGTTATCGAGTTGTAATGTAACAGTTTCTTTAATATAATTGACTTGAATTTCTCGATTCTTTGGACTAAAAACTGATAATTTTGAGGGATTTCCAATAATTACCCATAAAACAAAACATTTTGTTATATCGGCGCTTGTTCCTTCGGATTTTTTTATTATCGCATAAAATCCATTGAAGTCATATAATCCAAAATTAACATAAATTTCTTCTGATTTTGTATTATTTTCTGTAATGATCAATCCAAATACTTCATAATCTTCACTTTCCAATGATAATCCAATATTTATACGTTTGTAGTTCTCAATATTATTATTCTTTAAGTCAGTTAAATCGATAATTCCCGTCATTATAATTCTGTAATTATTTTTTGATATATCATCTATTTTTTTCTGGTGTTCTGTTTTGAGAATTTTATAAAGAGGAATAATATTATCGAATTCAATAATTTCCAAATGATTATTCGTATTACGGATCCAATTATGTAAATTATTCTTTTCAATGATCCTTCCCTTCTGTGTTAAAAGAGATGAAATATTTAAACTAACAATTGATTCGAGTATTTTATCATCATCATTAACGACATCAAATGTATTAGATGGTGAGAGATTTGGCAAAATATTTTTAAGAGATCTTCCTAATATAATTCTTCGTGGGAATAAATGACCATATTCGTTAAATACGTCCTGTAGAGCTTTCAATGGCTTCATACTATCAAGTGCTTCTTCTATAGTTTGCTCAAATTCTTTCGTAGGTTTTATATTCTTCGTATTTAAGAGGATTTCATATTTCTCGCACTTGACTAAAACGTGATTATAACCATCATGATTATTATCATTATTTTTAACAAATGGTAAAGTGCTTAAATTTTTAATTGAAAAAATATTATTGGAGACTAAAGTAAATTCTAATTCTGTTGATGGTTTGATAATTTTCAAGTAAGATTTATTACTTAGTGTGATTTTAGGAATTTCAATAAAGTCAACGGGAATTTTCTTGCTAAGTAACATTTCGTTATTCTTATTAATTATAAAACCCTGAAAAAGGTTAAAATCTTTTGTCCAACTAATCAAATTATCATTCGTAACATCTCCAACCCACTCTTCTAAACTTAACTTTTCTTCAAAATTAGCGACTCCAGGTTGTATTTCTTTAAAAATTTCGTCTCCGTCTTCCAATGATGTATCGCGTTCTGATCGAGAAATGGGAACGAGTTCATCATAAGAAATTATGTTAACCATTTTCTTTTGATATAAATTATTCATCCAACTAGTTAATTCTTCGTGAGTATTTAATTTTTTACCATCCAACGTTACTAGTTTTGGTAAAGTATTTAAGGTAAACAAACTGCTGAATTGAAAATCTGTAGGATATTTAGCTAAATTATATACACAATACAAATAAAACTTTAAAGTATCAATTTGCGTTGGAGTTGCTGAATTAAAATCTATGATAAATAATTGTCCACCGGTTAAAACTCTTCTTGCAAAGAAATCACCATATAATTCACGTGATTTCTTTTCATTGTCGAAATTTTTTTCTATAAAGGATTCTAACAAATCACCATTATAAATGATTTCAGCAATTGGAAAATTGATGCACGTATCTATTTTTAAATCATTCTCTTCAGAATTAATACACGTGTATACTAAAGGTTGTCCCTTATATAAATTCAATTTTAATTCACCATCTTCGACAGCGACTCCTTGTATGCTTGGCATTATTTCGTACCCGTTTAAAACCAAACCATGATTTAATTTAAATTGTCTAATTATTTGTTGTGGCTTAGTATTAAATACTTCCAAGGACGATAATCGATTAAACATTACTTTATCAAAAAGCCTATCATTATCAAGAGTTGAAGAACTTTTACCGTCTATTACTTGAGTGTTAAGCTGTTCATCAATATCAGATTGTTTTTCCAATTGAGCTAAAATTTCATAAATTTCAGGCCTCAAGTTTGGATCATCTTGCCAACAATTTTGGTAAAGTTGTTGATATTCAAAAGGAGTATTTGCAACTGGCTTCTCTCTCTCCCCATTAAGAAGTTTATTCTCTACTCTAGCGAAACCAAATACTTGTTGGATATAATCGAGGAAGGGTGGACGTCCACTTGACAGTTCCCACAAAAGAATGCCCAAGCTATATACATCAGATTTTATATTTCTTTCGTAATGTGGATTGCGAAGATACTGACGCTCAACATATGCTATATTTTCGGATGTAACTGTTACCGCTTGTTTGAGTAAATTTAAGTCTGTTATTGTTATCATTCCATTAATAACAAGTATGTTACACGCATGCTTTATGATTAAATATTAATTAGTTAAGGCGTTAGATGAACTAAGAATTAAAAAATTTAAAAAAAACTTTATTTACCAAATTTCCATGAATTATTTCTTCGGAGTGTAACCACATTAATCCTTGGGTAATACCAAGCGCCATTTGTAATTTATCACACCACAGTAATGTACCGAATTTGCTTTTTAAATAATCCCTTAAATTTTTTCCGTTAGCATACTTAGCATATTCCAATACCGAAAAATAATTGCCATTTGAATCTATTATGTTTAAAAACAAATAATTAATGGGTAATTATCAGATATTATAAACGCAGAAAAATTCTATTATAAGTTTAAAGCATGCACCTCTCGTTAATCCGAAAAAACGATTGATGTTCGGATAATTTTTATGAAAAGTTTTTAACTGTATTAAAAATTTTTTTTTTTTAATATTTAGTAATTTCGCTAAAAAAAAAAAAAAATAAATAAAATAAAATAAAGCAAAAAATTCTTAATACCTTTGCAATGAATTCTTTAAAGTCATTTTCACTAATCTGTGAATTACTCAAATTTTTTAATACGACGAGAATTTTTTTATTTTTCCAATTGGCTTTTTTTAAGGTTTCATAAGTTCTTCTGCTGTCAAATTTTTCAATATTGCTAAATTCATTATAATTAAAGTAACTAATATCTTCTTCTTCAATCCATTCTTTCAAATATCTCTTTATGCACACATTGCTATTATGACCTAAATTCTTAGTTATATCTAATTGATATTAATAATAAGTTATTACTAAAATAAAACAATTCTAGTAATAATCAATATATAAAATTAACAAATTTACTTACTTGACGAGATTTTTTCTTTAAAACTGCGTTCCGCTTCTTCAAAGTAGCTCAAATTTAATGTCGGAATTTCTAACTTTAAAATATGTTCTTCTTTACCAATACTTCCTGCCGTGGAAGCCTCACTATGTAACCACGCTTTTAATTCGTAATATTTTTCCTGAAATATTTTATCCAAGTGCCCTAGCAGTATAGATCTTGACTGACTTCTTTTTTTCTTATTAATTTCATTTGTTTTTTCATCATCTTCATCAACGACAGAAATATTTATCGGGGGATTATCCACATAAACAATACTTCTACATATTTTAGCAACTATTTTACTTTTCTTATGCAAAGATCTGATTTCCTTATACAAATCCTCTTTGTCTTTATTGCATTCATCTTCATTTTTAAAGTTACTAAATTTAGTCCTCACAATAGTAATATTCTCATAAATACCACTGTCAAAGATAGCTTTCACTTCTTCTGCCGTGAACTTTCCATCAATAACAAATAAAAATTGGCACATCCCATCATAAAGTTTTACTATATTTTTAGTTAGCTTAGTGACCCCAGTATCATTCACAAGATATTTCGTTCCTTTTTTCTCAAGTACTTTGGCTAATGTAGATTTACCACTATTAGTGCGACCAACTATTATTAATTTTCCAATTGTTTCAATTGTTTCTCGAGATGAAAACCCTTCAACTAAATATAATTAATTTTTAGTATAGAATTATAGATTCATTTTGATATTAATCGAAATTAATAATTATACCAACCTATCTTTGGTGATGGTAAATCTACTTGTGCCGGCTTTGAATAGCTTTCCGCTTCTTCAAAGTAATATACTAACGACGGTATTTCGGAATTTAAGTTGCGTTCCACTTCTTGGGCAATATTTCTTACGGAAGTCTTATCATGTAATTTATCCCACATTTTTAATTTGTAGTATTTTTTCCGGCATATTTTATCCAAGTGATCTAGTAGTATTTCTCTTGACTGATTTCTTCTTCTTTTATTAATTCTAATCGTTTCTTTATCATCATCATCACGAACAGAAATTTCTACCGGAGGATTATCTACGTAGACGATACTTTTACATAATTTAGCAATTGATTCGTTTTCATCACATAAGTTTTCTTTATCTTTTGTGCATTCATCTTTATTTTTAAAGTTACTAAACTTAGTTCTCACGATTGTGATATATTTATCAATACCACTTTCAAAGATGAAATCTTTAAGCAAGTTAAACGTACTTGCTTTTTCTGCCGAAAATTTTCCGTCTATCACAAATAAAACTTGACTTATCCCTTCCGGTAACAAATAGAACACTTCTGCTATTTTTTCACATATAACTTGCTTTTTAGTCAAATTAATGTCTCCGATTCCAATGGTATCAACTATACGATATTCCGTTTCGTTACGTTTAAAAACTCGTTTCTGGAAATTTTTAGTTTTCCTAATTTGCTTGTTTCCCTCTAGATGACCAGTATCATTTAGTACATTGGTTAATGTGGATTTACCACTTCCAGAATAACCAACCACTAACAAATTTCTAATTTTTTTTTCTTCCAGTTCATCAGGTATAGGAGTTGCTAATTATTATAATAGATCATTAAATAAGAACATCATTTTAATATTAATTATATAAAATTAATAAAATTGAATATACTAACTCATCTCTTTTCCTTTTTTCTCTAGAAAAGGGATTAGATCAATTACTAATTGAGAATCTAATAAATAATAAGAAAAGTTTTTAATTAAATTATTAATTTTAAATAAATAACAATAAATATAAAAAAAATGCATACATTTAATTACGTTATTATATTCATAGTATTTATTTTGACATACAAACTCCAAGTGGCTTAATAGTAGTGTTCTTGATCTTTCTCTCGTTTTTCTATTATAATTAATTCTTTCTTGATCATCATTATCATTAACGATGATATTCGTCGGAGGGTTGTCAACATGTATGATACTACATGATTCAACCATTTTAGCAATAGTTTTGCTTTCTTCACACATTTGTTTTTTATCTTCCTCGCATTTATTTTTATTTTTAAAGTTACAAAATTTAGTTCTCACAATGGTAGTATATCCAATAATCCCGCTTTCTAAAATTGTTTTTTCAAAAAACTCGAACGCTTCTATTTCTTTTTCCTTGAATCTTCCGTCAACTACAAGTAAAACTTGACTTATCCCTTCCGGTATTAATTGTAATATTTCCGTTTTGTTACACAAAATTTTTTTAATTGAACTAAATCCGATATCAATCAAACGATACGTTGTCCCGTTCCACTTAAAAATGTTTTTCTGGAAATTTCTAATATTCCTTGCCGAACATTCACTTTCCTCAAATTCATCAGTAGCACATAATACATTAGATAATGTGGATTTACCACTACTAGCATATCCAACTATTAACAAATTCCTAAACCCTTCATTTCCTGCTGCTTCAATAGTATTATCAGAAGATCTAGGTATCATTAGTTTTGATTGATTACTATCGATTCCATTAAAACTTGATTGTGAATCAGATTCTGATTCTAAAAGTATCGATGGTAGATCAGGGAAATAATCACTCTTTAATTTAATTAAAATATCATACACTTCTTCAATATCTGGTCTTAAATTCGGATCATTCTCCCAACATTTTTGGTAAAGTTGTTGATATTTCAAAGGTGTACCTTCAATTGGGGTTTCTCTAAGATTATTATGATAAATATGAGTACATAATAACGGTCGAGGGATTCCATGAAAAGGAGAACGTCCGCTTGAAATTTCCCATAATAAAACACCTAAACCATAAATATCGGACTTTTTAGTTTTTTTATGATTGATAAACACAAAGCGTTGTGGTTCCATATATTCAATCATTCCTATTCCATCGGCTGTTGAATTTGTTGAATTTGTTGAATTAGCTTCTGATAATTGCTTAGATGCTCCGAAGTCAGCGATCATTAGTCTATTATTATTAACTAATATGTTTTTCGCATGCTAGAAAAAAATAAAATAAAAATAAATTTAAATCAATTGAATTAATAGAAAATATATGAACCAGTAACTCAAATCATCATATTACCAAGTCTCTATGAATTATGTGTTTGAAATGTAAACATTTCAATCCACATACAATATCCGAGGCCATCTGAATCTTATCACTCCATTCAAGATCATTAAAATGAATTGCTAAATATTCTCTTAAATTTCCTTGATTAGCAAAATCTAATACCATTGCATACTTTTCTGATAAAGGTTCTAATATAAAATAAAATTAGTAAATGAAAGACTAATTCATAAAAAATTTACATGAAATATATGAACCTTTTGAAATTCCAAAAAAAGTAATTATGTTTGGATGAAAGCTAACTTTCTTCAAATTCTTTAGCTAAAACGTAAATTATTTAATAATTATTAAATATGTTAATCAGTTAATGAATATAATGATATAATAATATTACCTCTTTAACAAACTCGTTCATACTATTTTCATCAACCGAAGAATTATCTAGAAGAGACTTTAATGCTATTTTAATTCCACAACTTTTCCAATCAGCGCTTTCTACAAGTCCAAATCCTCCTCTTCCAACTTTTTTCACATTATTGAACTCTCTATATTCAATATAATCTATGTCTCCATTTTTTATTTTCTTATCAATCCAATCATTAAATGACGTCATAATTAAGAAGAAAAAAATTTTTTTTTTTTTATAAATTGATTTTTGAATTATGTTATTGAGCCTAGGGTTTTTATATTTAATAACTAACCACGAGGATGTAACCGCAAATCATTATCAAAATCTGAAACATGCAGTTACACATGAAACGGTTATGATGATAATGATTACAAATCTATATTTCTTAAAAAATAAATTTTGAATAGCTAAAAAATGATTTTATAAATGCGATTATTAAATAATAAACCACGATAACGCAATAAAAGAATATTATACCTCATATCTCGTTCCATGCCAAGAAAATAATTTAAAATGTCAATTTTTAATTATACGGTGAAATAATAATTTTAAACATCAGGAACGTGTATTTTAAACGATCAATTTTTATAATAGAAATTTGATATCTTTTTTTATAGAAGATGAAAACAATTGATCTTATTATAGATCTGAACCGACCGGCTCATGGTCAGTTGTATAGACTATACTAATTTCCCATTGGATCCGATATGAAATGACGGCAGAAGTCACAGGTCCGGATGATTACAAAATGATTACAAATCAGATGTTGATCGGAATGATCGGTTCACCAGTCAGAATCAATGAAACTAGGTGCAAAAATTAATATAACCCAGTTATATACACTTTTAGTGAATTTCGGTTCGATTTCGAGTTAACCATTTTAACTGAACTGAATTTGATTATTTATTGCTTTATATTGTATAATCAAATAATACTAGATATTAATTTATCATTTACACTCAAAAACTGAACATTTACAGTACATATAAGTTTAATAGACATATTTACAATTAAAGTAAGCTATAAAAAAAAATTTTTTGCGTTTTTGTTCATTTACAAAAATAGTTAAGTGTTGTGGATGAACTGGTCCGGTTCTGTCGGTTCGATCGGTTCGGTTCGAGATGCTTTACAATTTATCATTATTGTTTTAATTTTTATATTTTCGTAGATAATCTATCCGAATTACCTACCTAATAAAGATATTCCGCGATTTTCCGGAATTTTCCGAAATTTGGTTTTGTTTGTATTGCAAACCTAATTTGAAATTTTTTTTTGGTTTTTACAATGATTACAAAGATTTACACAGCAGATACGCCAAGACGCCTACAGTACTCACATGTCGCAATCATTTTGTGTAAACTTTGCTATTAATATAATGTCAGATGATTTTAATTGAGCACGTGCTTTATTGGCTGTGCGGCCATTGTTTTATGCGACATACCAATTTTAATTTTAAAGTGAGGTGTTGGATTTAAGTTTTCCGGGGTATAATAGAATTTTATTTTTATCTTAAATTATCACTATTTTCAGAATTGTGCTACCCATACAAATTACTTTTACTGGACAAAAAAACCGGACAATTTGTCCTGTAATTATAATCACCCAGTAATCACAACGTACGCAAAATTCAATAAAAAATATATATTTTTGCCATTATCTTAAAATTTCCAATTAAATACCCGTATCTGTTAATAATAAACGTACGATAATTAAATAAATTAAATCAAGATGATAGTTTATCAAGATTCGTAAATAATTTCATGTGATGATAAATTATTATTAAAAAATAAAGATCAATTAAAATTGAGGATGAGAAAATATTTATTAAAAGAAATATTTATAATTAATGTTTGGAATAATTATTTAATATATGTAAAGAAACGAATTTATTGGAAAATCGTAGATATTAGAGCATTTAAATCGGAAGATTTTTTTGGGTCGAAAAAAATTGATAAACACAGAAAATGACAATTGAGATCAATTCAAACGAAGAGTTGATAACGCAAGAGGAAATTATTAAAGATGGAAAAAGTTAATTAATAATTGTACATAAGTTAGTAAAACATAATTGAATTAAGTAAAGATAAGTAAAATAGCTACGGAATTTATTGAAGCTACAAAATCCGAAAATATAACTTAAGTTAATTACTGACTGAAGATTATGGACTACTATATTCATTCCAACTGTGGAACTAATGGGAGGAAGATTTGGCCGTTCCAAATTAATTATTAATAATTTAACTTCTCCCCTCTATTTTGAAAATTTCAAAGGTAAGTTACCGAAAATTTCCGAATTTTGAATAAGTATGTTTAATTATCTTCCCCCAAATTAAGGATGACTATCGAAACTGAAATTTAATAGAATTCAACTTTTAACTTGCGATTTACGTAAAGAACTTTTCATAACTGTAGGAAAAAATTTTTTTACAAGAATATTAAATTGTGAAGGTTATTTAAATCATCCTGGAAATTATCGAAAGTTTAAATTATTAAGAAGCGATAACGTTTTGCAAATTCCTCAACATACGAATAGAAGACCGAGTATTATTTATTATTCATGAATTTCGACCACGTACATATATTTTGGATATTGTATTAGTGGATGTACAGTTGGTTATAATACATATTTAATTTCACCTCAGGTAATTATGTTCTATATTAAGCAGTTAGAGAATTACAATTGTCACCCAATATCCAATCAGACCATGAACTTAAAATAGATATATTTTTTATTGTTCAATAATAATCGATACTTCAATTTTTAATTTACTCAACTTTACATTTTGCGCATTTATCATTTTAAATCCAAATGCTTGTAAATAGCTTTGAAGTTTGATCTGAAAAATAGAACCGCTTCATCTAACGATTTAAATCCATAATTTATAAGTTTATACCCATATATATTAGTATTTATTTTATTATTTAATCATTGACATTTGTCCGTTTTACCATAGTTATATTAAATTATATTCTGATATATTTAATTAGAGATTAGATGTGTAAATTATTAAAAGAAACGATATTTCGGCTATTCCGCTGAATATTATAAAAATATCGATTAAAGGCTTATTATCCATAGAATTGAATTATGAAATCTTCATTCCCATTTCTAGAAACAGTACAAAAATTAAGATTTTATTTATGGTTGATGTTATTGTAACTTATGATGAAAAACTGTGAGTGTCTTCAATTTATTTACGTACCCATGTAGAAAATCATGTGATTAGACGATCTACAATCAACCGCGAAGCAACAATAATATTAAGGCCGAATACATATATTGTTATGAAATAAACTAAATATTTCCAAATTCTCTTTAGCAAGAATTACTGTATGTCCAGACTTATGATGAAGAGTATATTTTCTCACTCTTTGACCCACTAACTTGAATCTAGTAGGTTCTCTTCTGGTTGTGCTAATTTGTCGTTGACTTAATACAAAAATATATTTTTCTTGTGGAATTCGATGATAAAACAATAAATATTTCGTGAATTAATGCAGATTTATTAAGGATAAACACAGTAATGTCAGAATTAGTACGATAGAACGTATGTAAAACTAATTCAAATAGCGTGAAATTTTTTAATTAGTCGAAGAAGTAGCGACCTATTATTTTAATTCAATCAATATATAAAGAAGAGCATAAATTAACCCCAGGTTAGTACCTCATTATTAATGAACGTTAAATTGCTATTACTTTTTATTTTAATTTTATCTGATTGTTTATAATAGCATCGTTTATGGTTGTCGACTGCGGATATAACACAGACTTTACGACATTTGAACTAATAAATGAGCACTGAAAGTCCGGACTAAGAAATAAAGTAGATCAACGAACGTAAATACCTATTACTTATTGGAATTTTAATGTTATCAATCAATACTATTTTTATTTGCTGATGCAGCACGTCCGCCTGATCTAATATTAACGAAATATTTTTTTTGAATGTACATTACAGACAAGAAGAATGAAAACGAAAAATAAATTGGTATTAAAATGGGATTATATTTATGGTCATATTTTTTTAATTTTTTTCTTTAATCATTATTTAATGCCGGCCGGCTATGTATAAATTAATTATCATTAACATACAGTATATCTTCTTAAATACAGTAATTATATTGTGATACTCGGTTTAATTCGTGCTATAATATGATAATGGATAAATTAAGATTGATATTGGCCTATTGTTATAGAAATATTCATATGAATTAAAAATAATGAAATTATAAAGAAATATGATCCATAATAAAAAAAGCCAAAATAGATTTAAGCTCAGGTTAATTTTCCAATTTTCCTATAAATTGATTTTGCTGCGCTCATCACAATCACGTGTATTACAAATGTTTAAAATTCTATTATTGTAATTAGTAAAATATAAAATAATATATATATATATATTATTTTTTTAAGTAAAAAATCCTTTTAAAAAAGGTTATTTTAATTAATCACATTTCTTTGTTTCGTTTTGTCATTTTTACTTTTTTATTGAAACAGTTAATAGTTATTGATTCAAATGTTCATTCATTGTGTGACAATTTTTTTTTGATTTTTCTAAAAAGGAAACAATGATGCAACATAACGTTTCACAACGGAATTGTTACAATAAATAAATAGTAAAAATTGCGAAAAAAAAAATTCAAAAATAATTAAAATAAAAAATAATGTCAGAAGCGAATGATGAAATTCGAGTGGTCGTTGCTATCGGTATGATTTTTTCCTATTAAAAATTCCGTAATTTAATAATAATTCTATTATTCTATTAATAACATCACACATATATATTTATATTTTTGTAAGATTTTGGAACAACCTACTCTGTAAGAACGTAGAGAATCTTATAATTTTATGCATATTTTATATTTTTGTGAAATATTTCTAATTTACAACATTCCTCACATAAATTTTAGGGGTACGCATACGCTCACAAAGAACAGCCTGATGTAATCATAGTTCAAGATAGTTGGAAAGAATATGAATCTCGCTTTAAAACTCCAACTGTTGTAAAATATTATGACAATTACAGTGATATTAAATTATGGGGATACCCTGCATTAATCGAAAAACCGAAGCTTAAAAAAGCTCGTCTCTTTTCTTCTTCCAAATTACCTAAATCTTCATCGGCCCCTATTGAATTATTTAAATTACATTTATTAAAATCAATTAAAGGAAGCGAAAAACCCACTTTGCCGAGAAAATTAAATTATAAAAATGTTATTAGAGATTTCATGAAAAAATTGGGTGATGATGTCAAAACTTGTTTGAAGAAAACTTGGCAAAGTTTGGATCCTGAAAGAAACGTGTTATATATACTTACGGTAAGTATTGAAATCTAAGTTTATTATTTATTATTAATCATAAATAAATTTATTTTTTATTTATTCCTAAGGTTCCCGCTGAATTTGATGATGAAGCAATTGCAACATTTCGTGAATGTGTTTTTAATGCTGGTCTGCTGAAAGATGAAGAGAGCAATAATATCAGATTTATAACAGAACGTATGTAGAATCTTTTTATTAATGCAGTCTTGTATGAGTTTCTTTATGATGATTAAAATGTGTAATATTATACTAAATAAAATTTCTTAATTAGCTAAAGCAGCGGCAATCCATTGTTTAAATTTAGTTGTACAAAATTTAACTCCAGGAGGTTAGTAATTATAATTTATGGAAATAAATCATGATTTTTTTTTTGTTCTAATTTATTTGATCATTATATAGATTCGTTTATGATTGTCGACTGTGGTGGTGGCACCGTAGACTTAACGACATGTGAACTTTTAGAAGATGAAAGATTGAGCGAACTAACAGAATGTACAGGGGATTGTTGCGGGTCTAGTCGTATTGATGAAGCATTTCTTGAATTTGTTGGAGAAAAAGTAGGCAAATCTGCAATTGAATCAGTAAGAAAAAACCATTACGGTCAATTACAATATTTTGTACAAGAATTTTGTAGTCAAGTAAAATTACCATTTAGAAATGATGAAGGTATGCAACACGACATTGATTTAGAAGAGTCATTACCAGCAATAATGAATTATGTAAAAGGAGAGGAAAGAGAGAGATTAAATGATTCGGAGTGGATAATCGAAATTAATTCCACAGATATTAAAAATATGTTTGATCCCGTTATAAATAAAATATTAAGTTTGATCGGGGAACAATTGGATAAAAGCGAGAAAAAATGTTCCGCTATATTTTTAGTAGGGGGATTTAGTGAATCTAAATATCTACAATATAGAATCAGAAGAGAATTCTGTAAGATTCCAAATATTTCAGTTCCACCTCATCCTACTACATCAGTTGTAAAAGGAGGTAAAAAAGTTTTTTTGTTTTTGATTTATTCACATTTAATTTTTATTTATTTTATTATTTTCTTCTGCTTAGGTGTTTTATACGGACTTGAAGAAATTATTAAAGATCGAACATATGGTAAATAATTCAATTTGTATTATAATTATAATTTTCAGGTACACAATTTTATTTTTATTTTTATTTAGGAATAGAAACTGAAATTGACCCATATATGAGGTATTTATTTGCTACTTGATTATCGAATTATCTACAATAATTATACTAATTTTTATTCTGATATAATTAGAAGAAATGATATTCCAATTAGTCCTACCTTATTTATTAGCAGGTATTCATTATTAATTAGCAAAATATGAATAGTTTAATTAAATTAATGATGCTTTCCTTAATTTTTTGACAAAATATAATTAATTCAATTGAATATTACTTAAATTTATTTTGATTATTGTACTAGTGATGATACTACTGCTTCACATTTCAGGTATTTATATTATTATTTTCATAAATTGTTTATTTAATTAATAAAGTAAGATTAATTACATTGTTTTTTTATATTATTAGCTGTAAAGATGATTCCGCTTCGTTAATGAGGTATTTATTATAAATAAAAATATGAAATAATAAATTAATTAACATTACTTTCATTATTTTTATTATGTTAATGAAACTATTGTTATTAACCCGACTTCAAGTATCAGGTATATATTTATCATTTCTTATTTGTTTTTTTAGTTAATAAAAATATGTTTAATTATAAGTTATTTTTTTAAAAATATTATCTCCATTAATAGGCCCGCTTTATTATCACAAAATTCTAAAAAATCACAGGATATACTCTTGAACAAACATAAAATAATATTAGGTGATTTTATTTAAATAAATGTCTCGTTTCTTGGAAATTATGTAAAAATTCTAATTTTTACAAATTCCTCGAGGTTCGATAAATAAATATCCTCAAAAATATAATATATAAGAGTTAATAATAGTAGAAAATATTCAAAACAAAATAAATATTTGTAGCTAACTCCCTCAACTAAACCTAAATCCAAAACCTATCTTATTTATACTTTTTCAATCTTTAAAAACTAATAAATTTCCTAAAATTTCTCAAACTATTTCTTAAATTATTCTAAAAATTTTAACAATTCTTTTTTTATAAATTTTTATACCAAATACTAATTAAATCCATCAAATAAACTAATTATTATTATTCTTTTTTTTAATAATTCTTCCAATTCAGTATACATTTGAAATTTCTTCATTGCCCACCTATTATCGAAACAACTTTTATTATTTCTTTCTCTTCTTCCTTTGTTACATAAAACTATATTATGTAATACTTTAAGTCTTTAACCATTTACAAATATTACACACATAATCTCTTCCCCATTTTTCAACTTAATTTGTTAAAATCTTGATATTTTATATATTTCTCTTTCATCTTATTTTTGTACTTTATTTCAGATAATTTTTCATAAACATATCTTTCTACATTTTTCATATCCACTTTCTTCAAAAAATCTTTTATTTTTATTTTTATTTAACAGTAATAGTTAGTGAATACAAAAATTTATAAACAAATCAAAAATGTAAAAGTAAATAAAAAATCAAACTAAACTACCAGAAGAATCTACTTCAATGGTGGGGCAGTTAAAAATGAAACTATTAAAAGCATAACCAACTACACCTAAAAACCATTTCTTTAACTAACTCACTACCTCCCATATACTAGCCAAAACTTGGTAAGTTGAAGCCCACTCTGCAGAAGAAAGTAAAATTGGCCCAATAAAATTATATGAATCAAACAACTGAAATCTGCATTGGCGCTACGAAGTAAGATTAGTATAAAATTCTATAATATTTTTTCCAAAATAAATGTAATTTCTAATACTATCTAGAGCATCATAATGAATACTATTATTATTATTACTACAATTATTACTAGGTAACGAATGAATACTTTTGAACTCTAACTTTTTCTTTTTAGTTATCTCCAAAGAACATTCAAGTACTCCTTCAAATGTGAACATCTCTTCTTCAAAAAATCTTTATTTTTATTTTTATTTAACAGTAATAGTTAGCAAATACAAAATTTTATAAACAAATCAAAAAATGAAAAAGTAAAATAAAAATTGAACTAAACTATCAGAAGAATCTACTTTGACAGTGGGGCAATTAAAAATGAAACTATTAAAGATATAACCAACTATGCCTAAAAACCATTTCTTTAATTAACCCACTACCTCCTATACACTAGCTGAAGCATGGTAAGTTGAAGCCCACCCTGCATTCTTCAAAAAATCTTTGACACCATTATAATGTTTACTGAAAACATGATTATTGCCATTTTCAAAATGGGTAAAATTCGATAATTTATATGAGGTGATGACAAAAACACACAAAAAAAACACGAAAAATTATATCAAAAACACACTCAAAAAACACATGTAATGTGTGTCATGTAATACAAGATCACAAAATCTTAAGTTTTTTGCGTTAAAAGCCTTTAAAAGGTTGGAATTGACACCAAGCCACAAATGATATGTGATTATGTGACCAAGACAATATTTAATTGATGTTCGTTTTTTATTTATTTTTATATAAAATTTAAAGGCTATGCACAAAATGAATAATCCAAGTTAATAAAGTATTCGAATATGTTGTTTAGGTTAAATTTTAATTATATTTACCTATACCAACTATAGTTTATTGCACTAAATTTCACTTAAATAGTGTTCAAGATAAAAAAGATTAATCAATTAAATAAATTTTATTAGAATAAAATCCATAATATGACATAACAATAAATAAACAAACTTTGTAGCAACTAATTAAAAATATTTCTCCCTTTTCTTTCTATTCCAAAGCTATAAATATATGATTTTAATTATTAATTAGTTAATAAGCTTTTAAATAAAAATTATATAGATAGAGTATTTCCAAATAAATATGTAAAGTAGTGCCATAAAATACCATTTTACTGCTTCCCAAGAGGTCTGAGAATACTTTGGTTAGTTTAGTTGTAGTGTGATTCTAGTGTAGTGTTTTTTTTATTCACTGTGATCTAAGTGTGATTCTTGTGTGATTCAAGTGAGATCTTGGAGTTAAAGAGTAAAAATACCAGTCTATTTTTGACTAAACCTTACAAACTCATAGTATACACACATGTTTATTGAAATATTAAAAAAATATATAGTAGAACTATAAATAATTTAGACTTTAAATATAAAGAAAGAAAAATTTTTGCGATCTTATTTTTGACCTAAAAAATTGATCAGCCAAAGTTATATTGTTATTATCAAAATATGGGTATGATCATCAACAATTTTTTTTCCAAAAGTATTATAGTAATAGAAATATAGTACTAGAACAGTTCAGTTCAGTTCAGTACAGTACAGTATAGTACAAATGTCTGGAAGAGCAAAATTGCAATTTAGAATTTCCTGTGGCACTTTTATGTTACATTAAATTTAGCCATCAAATTATAGAGTTTTGTATTAAAATTTAATTTTGTTGATCATTATTTTTTTTTTGATTATGTTGACAATGTACTTTTGTTTATAAAAAGAAATAAGTAAAAAAAAAATAATTTAAGTAATAACAAGCTTTTGATATAAAGAAAGCTCATTTATTTTAATTTACTAATACTTTGCTGTAAGTAGTATTCCAAATGATTTGGATTGGATAGGTTGGAGGAGGACACATCATCCATGGGTTGATAGGCAGAAGACCATCTATCTGGTAACACATCAATAGAGGTAGGAGGGGTGGATTTAATCGGCACAAAGTTTTGGAAATGGTTAATGACAGCATCATCAATATCCTTTGGGTCGGTGAGCAATTGAGGTAGTGCTTTGATCTATATTCGGATCGATCTGGATATTTTTTTTTTTGGGTATCCAGATTTTGTGGTTTTTACCCAGATTATAATCCAGATGAAAAATATACGGTTTAAACCAGAATCTGGATGAATCTTTATATATATTTTTTTTGCATAGTACCATAACTTTATATATTAAGATTTACAAATTATTTATAGAAATAAGTATATCTTTTTTTCACTAAAGTGCAACCATAGACAAAATCTCAAATACTGAAAAGTAAAAAACACCAAAAACATCTGTACCACATGTTGGTCAACTGAAGTTTAAAATGTAACAATCTACTAAACAAAGAATCATTTTTCACATTCAAATGTTTAAAAGAAGAAAATTTTATTATTATTTTTTTTATAATGAAATAATAATTATTATTTTTAAATGAAAAATTATTCAGATCAAATTACAAAAAATTGAGATACTATAAAATTTATATAATTATAATAACTTTTTTTAGAAATTAAAATCTTAGTATTATAATTTGATTCAAATGATTCTTTGATTTTTGAAAGAAGAAACAAATCTTATTTAACATTTTAAAAATTGCTTTACTAACTCAACACATCTATCTATAGTAATCTTTAGCTGTATATAAAAATATCTTGTTTATCAAAAATTTCATAATTATAGTTACAAAGAAATGTCAAACAATAGTCTAAGACAATGCTGAAATAATATGAAATTGTTTTAAAAAAAATTATTGAATAAAATTGGAATTATCTTTATAGATAATTTTGGCCAAATTTGCTGAAATTAATATCATGTGAACCAGAAAAATAGTTTAGCCATTGGATAAAAAATTTTTTATTGGCTAAGCATAATGGTACAAAAATTTGTAATTCTGACTGGCGTTATGAATACTGGCCAGAATTATTGCTGATCAGTTGTAAATCCAATCTGGATTCCAGTTTCTAACCGGATTATTTGAGCCGAATAAGAATCTGGATCAATCTGGATAAAATCCAGGTCTTTTTTTGTGTAACCTGGATGACGGGATCAAAAGCACTAGGGTAGGATGACTAGGGTCACCTGACCCATTTGACCTTTAAAAAATGCAAAGTTAAATGTTTTAAATTAAAAAACATTATTGTCAAAATTGATGTTTTTAATTAAAATCATTAAAATTGACATTTTTTAATTAAAAAATTTAAAAAAATTGGTTTTTCTAACTTAAAAACGTCTAACTTGACATTTTTAATTAAGATAGTAAATAAAAAGTGTTTTTTTTAATAAAAACTGTCGATTTTGATGTTTTTAATTGAAAAATTGTTTTTTTTTATTGATTTTAATTAAAAACTGTCAATTTTGACGTTTTTAATTAAAAAAACATTTTTTTGTTAATTTTAATTAAAAAACTTTAATTTTAACATATTTTCGTCTTCCATCACTCCTTTTTGTTCCCATCATTCTTCTTCATCTTCCCATCACTCCTTTTCATTTCCCATCACCCTCTCCATCTTCCCATCAATCTTTTTCGTCTCCCATCACTTCTCTTCATCTCCCATCATGTTTTATTTCTCCTTTTGTTTCCTATCATTACTCCCTTTCATCTTCTATTACTTTTATCCATTGTTTTTCATTTTTTTATTAGCATCTTTCTCCTTGATCATTGTAATTTACTTATTCTTTTATTTATTGTTATTGTTCTTTTATTTGTATCATTTCATTAAAAATATGGTGATTTCTTTCTTTAAAATCGTAAATGTGTGACTTAAATTTTAATATTTGCAAATAAAATTTCATTAGATAAGATTATTTGTTTGCAAAAAAATTTTTTTTAAAATATATTTATAAAAATTTTAAGTTTAAAATTAGTTAAGTTAAAAAATCAATAAATTTACTCTATATATTGTACATCATGTGACATATTTGAAAAAAAAACCCCAGGCGACAATCACCCAGGCGACGTTTAGCAATTCCCTTAAATTTTTACTATTTTACTATAATAAACCGAAATCTGCCATTTCTCTATACTTAATTTACTCATTATAAATAGAAAACATCATAGAAAGTTATTTTGTATGTGCACTAAATAATCTAAGATTGCACATAAAAAAATTCCCGTATCCTTTGATTTCATTAAACCATATTCATTTTATTAATTTATTTATTTTAACGAAGCTTATTTATAAAAAAGAGATCAACAATTTGCATATTTAAAAATTGTAGTCATTTTTTTTTTACAATAACTTTCACTTAGAAGATCTTTAAAAGCATGCCAAGCTCCCCCATGAAAATGACCCCTTGTTTATAGTTAAATTTATCCAAAATGATCAACACTATGAAATGATCAAATCTTTTTAACGTAACATGCTTTAATTCAGAAAAATCATTACACAATTCAAATTAATCACCAAATTTTTTTAATCACTGTAATAGATTATAAGTGTATTTATCTGTTGATAATCTAAGTACATAATACAATTTATTTTATTTCAAAAAAGATTGTGATATGAATATACAATGTTAGAATATTTGCTCCTATTTTATAAAATATTTCCTATATTTCACCGCTAATTAGTCATTAATTCCAGAGAACACGTTGGAAAATATAAAAAAGGCTATAGTAAAAGGAATAAACATGTGATTAACCAACAATAACTTAATAAATTAGCCTATATATTTATAGTAAATTGGATCGTGACCTAGTTCATGTGGAATCTAAAAATAAAAACAAAAATCAATATATAAAATAGTTGTACAAATTTGAGACAAATTATTTGGTCTTGAATATTACTAAATTCTCATAATTTACATTCATTTATAAATTTTTAAAAATATTTGGTTCCTTAATTTAGCTTTCTTGTTCTTTCTAAATACGGTATATACTGTATTAGTCATATACAGTATATATTATATTTTTTAAAAAAACGAATACCATTAACTTTTCATATCATTTACATCACCAATTAAAATTAAAAAATTTGTAATTAAAAAATTATCAGATAAAATCAACTAATAAATCATATTTATTTGGTTTTAATAGAACGACACACTATGTAAGCACTTGACCTTTTCAGTTTAATAAATTAATAAAAGTGAATAATTACTAATTTAATATTTGAATATTTCAATAAAATGTTGTTTTAAAAACGTTGCTTCTGGTGAGAGAATGATTCATATGTAAAATTTTCTCAAAGTATCAAAAATGATGTTAAATATGATATATTCATTAATTTGGTTTTATTATATATTTACTATAGGATACATGAATTTACTTATAATATCAAACTAAATAATCACTTTTTTTGCTACATAATAAAATATTATTTATTCATAATTGCAACAATTAATATGATTTAATATACTATTTAGTAAGAGTATATAATTATAACTGAATCTTAATTCACTTTTATTTGTTTGAGTTCTCAAATTTTTTAATAACACCCAATCCTTTGTATTTTTCAACTAATTTCCTGATTATGTTATTATTTAAAGGATCCTTACCATTACCATTAATGATAAGTGAAAATGGTTTTAGTGGTATACGATCTTTCCAACTACTAAAAAATGATTCTAAATGATCTTTTGAATTTAAATTTGCTTCACGTAATTTTAATTCATGAAAATTTTTAGGAGAATATTTAGCAACAAGCTCTAACAGTCTTTTTCCGCTTAAATGTGTATAACCACAAGAAGTTATAATACTTTCTAATTGCTGACAATTAACAAAAATCATTTTTAATTCTTCTATTCCATTAGATGGAAAATGAATATATAATGATTTTAAGTTTTGGCAATAATTAGCTATAGCTAAATTTAATGAATTATTATCACAACGAAATACAGAAAGTTCTTCTAAATTCTTTCCATTATTTACTAAAAATTTAATCAATGTATCAACATTAATTGAAAAAACTAATTTTAAAGCTCTTAAGTTTGAAAATATAATTTTAGTAAAAGTGGATGGTAGTGATATTCCATATAAGAATAATTCTGTTAGAGTATTTGAATGTTTAGTTGATGCCTTGAAACAATTAAGTATATCATTATCAAAAATATCCCTACCATTATTACAGGTGAATGATATGGATTTCAAATTATTTTGACAAAATATCAAATCATTTATTCCAACTACTGAAACAGTTTCTTCAAATTTTATAACTAAAGAATTTATATTGTGACATATTTTAGATAGTTGAAGAAAAAATTCAGAATTTATGTATGAGTCACATATCAATTCTGAAAGATTTTTTAAACAATCATTTGCTCCAGGAAAATTAATAAAATTTAAAAAATTATATTTTTCATAAAAACTATAATAATAATCATAATCATCTTCAAAAAAACAAAAATCCATTTTTTTTAAAGAAGAAATTTGTTTCATAAACATTTTCAATATTTCTTGGATTATCAGATAGTTTTTTGGATCTTTGGTTAAAATTTCAATATATGTGCAATAGCCAATTAATAGATGTGGAATTGAAAGAACTTTGCAGAATGATACATAATTAAACAATGGAGGATTTGAGATTGGAATTGAAGTGACTCCATTATTAATTAATAAGTCTTTTGATTCATTAGGAAGACAATCGATTAGAGTCCTCATAATTTGGTCAATACATTTAAAATCCCAAATATTTCTCCATAATATTTCAACGGAAATTCTACAACAAAGACGATTTACAAGTAAACAAGAATGTAAAGTAGCTTTGTCTTTCTCTAAGCACTCGAAAATTTTGTTAAGACAATCAGTGGGAAGTGTTGAAATCATTTTTTTTTAAAAAAAAAAAAAATTGTAAAAAAAATTTGTATGGTTATTTATATATGCTTATATATCTATATATCTTGCACTTAAGATGACTAATGCTAACTGATAAAAAATCATATGAACAATAATGACACAAATATGAAAGGTAATGATGATGTCAGAATACTGAGATTTATTTACAGTACTAATTATTAAAAAGACCTAAAAAATGATTATATACACAGTCCATGGTATTGCAAAGCTGCCTCTTTACCTTATTAGTAAAAATTTCATTTTCATTCACATTATCCAATCCAACCAAATTATAAATCCAGGAAATATTGGGCGCAAGTTGGGTATTCTAAACGTCAGAAGAATTTTTTATAAACTTATCTGAGAAATTTATTATGACGAATTGATAATCATATTCTGTTAAATGATATTTAATCAACATTTTACAACACAGCTGAACCGCGTGTTCACTGTAAAACTTATATCATGAACATGAAATGTATATGACTCATAAAAGCTTTTTTATTTATTTATACATTCATCTTTATGCATGATTAAACCTGAAATTTCTTAAAAGTTCAAAAAATATCGCTTAAAAATAAAAATATTATAATTATTTTTAAACACAAATTTTAATTCAATGTTTATTTATTTTATTAAATGTGAACGAGAAACAAGATCATCTTAGACTTTACTCGATCAATTGTCAAATAATTATATATGATTTAATAGTTTTTTTATTCTATAAAAATTTCCTTTCATAAGAATTATGAGCTGTGTTGCGTCAATACTCAGATAAACTAAGTATGTAGGATTTTTTATGCAATCATTATTAGTGATTTAAGATGAGTATATTTAAAGATTAATTATCTACTATCTATTATTATCTTTATAATTGAGAATAAATCATTTTATTACCTCAATAAGATTTTATTGCAAGTTATAACCAAAGCGCGGGTATTTTTTAACTTAAAATACAGTTGTTCGATAAGTTCAAGATATAAAGTTTCTTTAACCGTTATTTTCGTTATTTTACAAAAAAAACTGAATACTTTTTTTTTTTTATTAATTAAATTGAAATTCAGACTTTAAAGGTTTCTACTTTGCTGCATATTATAGTCTAGCATTAATAAACATTTTTTTTTTTCTTGCTGATAAAATAAATACATTATGTTTGTTATAATTTATTAATATATTTTATACATAATATCGTAATATAATAAAAATTATAAAAGATATAACCATATTCTTTCCTTTTGGCCTCTTAAGCAGATATCTCTACTGTTCTGTAGAGCTACTATTGCAACAGATGATATATATACAAACAAATTATCTTTTCAATGGCTTTACCGGTCAGATATGAATTATTACCGGTTCTATTTTGTAAAATAATCTCCCATAAATTTTATTATTCCACCGCAATCATACAAGACGTTAATTTGATTTCTTTTTTTTTCAATAAAATGCAAACTCTAGTAAAAAATATACAATGTTTGTTAAATTATTTATCTTCATTTCGATTATTCGAAAACTGAGAATATAAACATGTTCTGGATCATATTGAACCAAAATTTGTCAATAAGAAATATTTAAATGAATTTTATATCCAAAAAAATTGATAAAAGAATAGTATACAGTACATTTCAATTAAGACTATGTTCAATTTAACTTTAGAAACGGAAAAACAGATTTAATAATTCCTTGGAAATAATAACAATTTTTGTATTTACGTAAGAAATCTTGTGTTAAAGATACTGTTAAAATGACTAAAGATACTAAATCTTTGTCTTTAAAACGAGGAAGTAATGATTTACGGATAGTAGACAAATACAAATTCCCTAAACTTTTATTTAGTTGGCACATCTAACAGGCGATTATTCGACTGATACTATCAAAATCCTCTCATCCATATATCAAAGAAAAATCATTTTAATAATACGTTACAAAATAAATATTTAATTGGTCGTTAGTAACTTGGAAATATTTTTATTTGTTTATTTTTTTATTTTTAAAATAAACATCCATTATTTTCCAGAATTTAAATTTATATATCCTAATTTGTTAATATGCTAAACTTAGATATTATCAGTTTTTTTTTTTTAAAAAAAAAGCGATGATCTAACGTGCCGATCTTTTGTGCAATCTAGTCCTACAGAAGATCAGCGGACTTTCGACATAGAAATGTCTGCAATCTGTATTGTCTGGTGATACTATCCTATCTATAAATAGTTAAAAAATATTTGTATTTTTTAAATTCTACCTTTATAAAACCGTAAAATTAACTTTCCGCAGTAATAATTTTTTTTCGTACCCAACAATGTCAAATATGTCAAATAACGCTGAACTTGTTAGCAATTCAAATGATTGGAATAAATGGATTGAAGAAGAGATTTCTAAAAAACTTATAAAGTATTATGAGTATAACCAATTTTATAATATTCAAGAAATTGGTTCCGGTAGCTTTGGAAAGGTTTATCGTGCGAATTGAAAGAATTCTCATAAGCGTTATGCAATAAAAACTTTTTATAATATCAATGATGCTATAGGTGAAGCAATTGTTTGTGAGGTAATTATAATGTCAACCATATTTCATTAATTAATTATAAATATGTTGAGTTTTTTATTAATGTAATATTTTATTTATTACTAGATTCAACTTCAACGTAAAATTGATTTTCATGATAATGTTATTCGTTTTTATGGTGTCACAACTTCTATTAAGGGTATGATAAGTTCTAATATTATTTTATTTTGTATTATATAATAATTATCTAATTCGTAAAATTTTCTTTTTAAAAAGAAACCCAAAAAAAAGAGTATTCATTGGTGATAGAATATGCTGAAAATGGTACTCTCCGAGAATATTTGAAAGAAAATTTTAAATATCTCACTTGGAATGATAAATTTAATCTTGCATTCCAACTGGTTTGTGCAGTATCATGTTTACATAACGAAGGGATCGTGCATCGCGATTTGGTAATTAATTTACAACTCATTTTGATCACATAATGTATTTTAATGATTAGTTGTCTTAATTTAATTATTCTATTTTTAACGTAATGATATAGAACTCCAAAAATGTGTTAATCCATCGGAATATTGTTAAACTAGCAGATTTTGGCTTATCAAAAAGAATTGAGGAAACATACTTTCAATCAAAAATATTTGGATTAATTCCTTATAATGATCCACAAAGTTTTAATAGTTCAACATCGTTATATGTATTAAATGAAAAAAGTGATGTTTACAGCATTGGTGTATTATTATGGGAGATATCCAGTGGCCGACCGCCTTTTAGTGATGAATTAAATTATCTTGGATTGGTTATGAAAATTTTTCAAGGTCTTAGAGAGAAACCTATTCTTGATACACCAGAAGAATATATAAAAATTTATACTGGTAAATACAAACTTACAATTCAAACTTACAATTTATGATTAATTAAGACATTTTTTTGTAGATTGTTGGAATATTGAACCTGATAACCGTCCAACTATCAATCAAGTTGTCGTTAAATTAAAGGCAATAATGACAAAAGAAAATATAATTATAAAAGATTTTCACTTATATGATAATAACAAGGATATTCAATCATTAAACAATCAACAGCCAGTTAATATTTCTGAAAGTGTTTATTCATTATATGGAGTTTTATCTAAATTTATTCAAAGCTTCAATATGATGAATACTTCGATGTCATCAAGTAACCAATTTGAGAATAGCTTTGATACAATAGTCAGTGATTTGATTAATCTTAATTATGATAGTATTGAAATAGGAAAATAAAAATTCCTAACTTATCTTAATAGCCATAATATAACTTTACAAGAATTTAATAATTTATTATTAAATAGTCAAAATAGTTCAAATTCTCTTGTCTTACTTGGTGAACTTAATTTTTTAGGAATCGGAATTAGTATTAATAAGCAAAAAGCATTTGAATTATATCAAAAGGCCGCATACTTAGGAAATTCATTTGGAATAAACAGTTTAGGATATTGTTATCAAAATGGAATTGGAACTGATATTGATAAGAAAAAAGCATTCGAATTATATCAAAAGGCTGCAGACTTAGGAAATTCATCTGGAACAAATAGTTTAGGATATTGCTATCGAAATGGAATTGGAACTGATATTGATAAGAAAAAAGCATTCGAATTATATCAAAAGGCTGCAGACTTAGGAAATTCATTTGGAATA